GAATGAGATGCACTGGCCATTCCTCTCATGGAGCATTTCTCCTCTTTTCAGTACTCGCTGCTTTTTAAAATGTGACTCTCTGTGAGAAGAACGTACTTTTTACAGCACAGAGAATAAGGTTGCAGGCTGCCTCTTTCTTTCTCCTCTTTTTTTTTTTTTTTTTACAGGAGTCTTGTCCATTTAAATTAACCTTTCTCCCAGCTGGGCACACAAATGTTTTTGTTTTAGTTCACAGAGGGTTAATTCTATTCAGCTCTCACCAAGGCTGGCCTGATCCGGGGCAGCACAATCTGCTCTTTGAGCCGGGCTGGCCAGGCAGGACACGGGTGCCTTCTCCTGCCTGCAGCGGGGCTGGGACCCCCGTGTGCGGGGTCGATGGGGAGCACGAGTGGGACACCCCGACCCATTGTGTGCCGGGCCACGAGCTCTGCCACCGAGCTCGCTGCTGTCCCGAGCAGAATTTAATCCCAGTGTTCATCGATTATAAGTTAAAAAAAAAAGGCCTCTGAAGCAAAGGTGCCTGGTTTGGGGGTGGGCTCGTTTGGACAATGCAACGCTCTGCAGCGGGGGGGGAGTTCCTCCACTTCTGGGGCTTGATTTTCACAGGATGGTTTTCTTGAAATAAAAATTGACAACGGAAAAATTCATTAGGAAAAAATAAGAGGAGAAAGAAACCCCAACACATCTGTTTGTGTTTGAGGCATCATCAGAGGCGAGAGGGGAGCAAGATGCTGTTGGGATTTAAGTAACACATGTGTGAGATCTCCCCCTCCGCCCTCCCTCCCCAAACAGCTGGTATTTAGCAGCTTGAGATTTAAACCCAGCTAAAGGGTGCTGCAGGGGGGTGTGATAGGGTCAGTTAATCAAGAAGTAACTAACTGGTACACAGTTGAAAAGATGTTAAATATATTAATGAACAGCAGTGCTGAGTGTTGCCTGTAATCTTTTTTTTCAGTGACAAAAGATTTTCTTAGCTGTAAATCATGTTCAGTTGTATAAATGGGATGTTCTGCCAGCAGCAGCTTGGCCTCCTCTTGCTTTCCAGCCAGACCAAATCCCAGCACCGTCTGTCCTGGGGTTTGGATGAGGGACTGTGCCTTCACTTTTGGCCTCACTCTGGGAAATAAAGTCTTTGTTTCTCCTCCATCGTAAAGCACCGATATGGAGAATCTCACAGGCCGGCTGCACCAACACGCTGCCTCATTTCCAAGGTAAATCTTGCAGGGAGGTGTAGTTGCTGTAGAGTTTTAAACTGGGTCTCCAGGGGTGGGTGTGATCCCCTCGCAGCGTGGGGAACTGCTGGGGTGCAACCACAGCTGGTCCCCTCCTGGAATGCGAACACTGAAGGTGCTTCCCGTTCACCTGCTCGGGGTATTTGGCCGCAGGAGTGACACAGGTGGGAGTGGTGACACAGGCTTGCTGGGATCTGAGGGTATGTCCCCATACTTTAATTTATTTGCTGTGTATTTTACAATCTCATTCATGTGCCCTGGTGCTTTCTCTATATGTATTTGCCATGTGTTTCAGCAGGATTCAAAGGTGTTTCCTCTTGGAAATGCATAGCAATTTTCTTTTAAGAATTATCAAGGCTGTTCATTTTGCTGAGGGGAAAAGTAAGTCTTTTGAAAAATAAATGTATTGCTTCTACTGTTTACTTTATTAAATATAGAAAAGGGGAGATTCCTTTTCTTTCTTGTTCCATCTTCTGTGACTCTCGTGTAACATCATCATATTCTTGGAGAATTTACATTGTATGTGGTATGAAACCTACCATGACCTCTGAAAACAATACATCCTTTAATGTGGCTTCGGGGAGGGGCTAGCGAGGGAGTAGCCATAAAAATCTTCAGGGTTCAAGATGAGGTTGAGATTTTTGTGAGTGCTTTTGTCGTAGCAGCAACTGTTTGATTTAGTGGCCCCTGCTACAATGGGTTGGGAGAACAAAGCCAGAATATCCCGTGTATGAGTTTGTGAAATGTAAGACCCATCAGGAAAATTGGGGAGGGGGGGAGAGGGCAGCATTCTCAGCCCCCTCTCTGAAACAAAACATGTGCAAGGTATTTGAAAAAATTTCCTCTCAAATACTTGGTTTCTTAATCTTCATTGTCTTGTGTAGCTTTTGAAACTGGAGGAATGAGCAAGATGAGAGGTGACAGCGCCAGGAAGGAAGGGGGGCTTATTCATTTAAAAATGATTATCCTTAGTGTGTGTTTTGATATTCTAATGAAATTTCAGGGTTAGGGGAGTTCAGAGCACCGCCAAAGCAAAACTGCTTCAGATTTGCCTGTGCTTTACCATTTCTGTGAAGTTTGCTGTGGTTCTGCCTCGGCTCTCCCACCCTTTGCCTACACCAGGCACTGCATTAAGTAGGGTGAAAACCAGCAAAGGTCAGGGGCAGCAAACCCGTGGGCACAGGGGAACAGTGTGGGCCTGGCCATGGTCCCTGCAGGATTTTTTAAACATCTAAACCCCTAAGACTTGGTGTAGGCCATCATTTTTCATCTCCCAGTTCTGTTAGAGCGTCAGCGTACGGGTTGTGGGGACACCTCCGTGGTCCCTGGGGTCTGTGCCTTTGTTCACGGTGAGTGACGCTGCTCTACGGCAGATTTTTGTCTGGAAACGCACCCAAGGAACAGTCTGTGCGGGAGGCATGTGCAGTTACTGTGGCGATGGGGCCATTCCCAGCACCTCGCCCTGCTCTGGGGAGATGGGGATGGCCGGGAAGGATTCTGATTCCCCCTCGCTTTAATCATCCAGGCTTCCCACGTTGGCCGGGTGACGGCTCTATTCTTCTCACAACAAAAAAGCTGTGCCTGGAAATGAGCCCTCATTGAGGTCCTCGCCATCGGCTGCTCCGGTGAGAAGTGAACCCCGGGTCCGGCACGGGAGCTGTGCCTGGCGCTGCCGCCGTCCCTGTGCTCCCTGCCCTGGCCAGGTGTGCTTTCCACAGCCCCTCGTCCTGCCCGGCCGTGGCACGGCATTGCTGCTGACCCCGGGATTTATGGCACTGCTGTGGGAGCAGGGGGAGGGCCAGGAGTTAAGCTGAGCTAAACCCTGCAGATAGAGGACTCCTGTGTCCTGGCTAATCCCCAGCCCCCTCCCCTCGTTTATCAGATTGCTGAAGGTGGAGATTATGCACGTGGTGACTACAAAGTCATGTTTAGCTGCCTCCCTTCAGAGATGCTCAGATAGTCCCACTCCTGAAATGCATCCACATTCCTTTGGGCTCAGCACATACCTGAGGTGGTCTGTCCTGTAAAACTGGGAATGTTTTGGTGTGAACCAGGAACGTTTCTTCGGTTAAAGTTTGTGTTTCCTTCGTTCATCCTTCTATTTTAAGGTTTTAGAACAGTGAAATTTGCAGAACAGTGCAAATGTGTGTGCTGTGCATAGCAAACCTTTTAGAGATTAACTCAGATTGGTTCTGGTTTCTACTAGGTTTAAGCTTTGGAGAAAGCTGCTTGTGAGTAGGAACAACTGCTTTAGATTTTTACTTGGCTTGTGTAACTGAATACTGGTTTCATTTCTGATCCCAATACGTTTGGCTCATTAATTCCTGTTGCATTCACATATTCTGCAGTAGTAAGAAGCTACACCCTGGTTTGTCAGCTTGTTTAGCCTTTATCAAGGCTGGAGAGGACTTTGCTGTGACTCCTACCTCCTGCTACTCCAAAAATCCATCCTGTAGATAAACACCTTTGTCTCAGGAAACTCCCATGCCAAATTTAAGTGAGGGAAGCCAGGCTGTTGTCATGCTGAAGTGAGGTTGACCCAGCTCATCTTTAGGAGCCAGCGCTGCCCCGAGGTTGGGCTTTCTCAAGGTCTGTATCCAAGGGGGAACAGGGGGTGTGGGCAGCACCCCACACATGATGTCGATTTGTGCAATTGTGTGTCTGCCCAGCCTGAGCTTCTCCATTCCCAGTGCCACCTCCTGGGTCCTGCTTCAGCTGTGGGCATTTCTGCCCGCTGGCAAAGGCATCGTCCTGCCTTTACGCCAAACAGCACTGGAAACAATCTGGTTTAACCACCATCCCTGGGAAATGCATGACTGAGTGAGAGACAGCAGTGTGGTTCCTTTCTGTTCCTTGGTGCCTTTGCCTTGCTGGGCCAGGGGGTTCCAGTCATCTGGGTAATGCCTGTTTCACAGTTGGGAAAGCCACCCTGTGGATAGTACTGGAACACTGCAGATTTGTGTGAACCTGAATGTGCTGGAATAGCCCCACCTACGCACTGCAGCTCTGCTTGCAGCTGTTGGGATATTAATGGGTTAAAATGCAGGGTGGGGGTTGGAGGCAGCTTGGCCTGGTGTTCGAGGGGTTAAACTGCTGGGTGTGAAACATCTGCTACGGGAAAAGCTTCTGGTGCAACTTGCTGGCATTATTTTAAGCTAGATGGCTGTTGGTGTGAACCAAGGTTTAGGCCTCCCTTCCCTCTTGTTTGACATCTATGTCTGGAGATCTCACTGAGCCAAGCATCGTCCCTTGCACTCTCTCACAGGCAGTGTTAGAGTCTTAAAATTCTGAATTTAATGTGACAGCTCCTGTTGTGGGGAGCTCTGCAGTTTACGTTTTTTGTTGTCCAAGGGTCTTCCAAAGATTTGGAAAAGGATCAGTAAAATCACATCACTGTGGCTTGACTGTACAATGGTTTCTGTAATGATGTTCACTGGTTCTGGGCAGTGACTTGTGCTGTGGGGCTTTCTGAAGCCCGGAGGTGTTTGCCCCCAGAACATGCGAGGTGTGACAGGATTTCGCAGTCACTGCTGTGTGCCCAGCACAGTTCCTGTATTTACACACCCTGGTCTGTGCGGCTGAGGATGGGACACCCTAGACCCTTTTTCCCGTCCAGGTTTCTGGGTGAGCCAGTGCCGTGCTTGGCCTCACAGGTGTCTGTCCAGGCAGGCCTTGGCATGCTGAGCCTTCCCCATCCCCTCAGGAGAGTTTGGGATCCCTCGGTGACGCTGGTTTGTCCACCTCAGAGTCTTTGCTCTTGCCTTGCAGATGAGCGGGTGGATCAGCGAACCTGCCTGATCTGCGGGGACAGGGCCACGGGGCTGCACTATGGGATCATCTCCTGCGAGGGCTGCAAGGGCTTCTTCAAGCGGAGCATCTGCAACAAGCGGGTCTACAGATGCAGCCGGGACAAGAACTGCGTCATGTCACGCAAACAGCGCAACAGGTGCCAGTACTGCCGGCTGCTCAAATGCCTCCAGATGGGAATGAACCGCAAAGGTAACGGAAACAGGGCCTTTTTGGGGGGAGCGTGGATTGGGGCCGGTGTTAGCAGCACGTGCTGCCCCTCCCTCAGCTGCCATTTTGTATTGCAATTCTGCCTCTGAAACTCTTTGACAAGGAAAAATGAAACTTCAGCAAAATCATGCACTGATTAATAATTATGCATGGATACACAATTCTGAACTACCTCATTACTCTGTTTGAGCCACAATTTGTATAAATTGAAACCGTGAATAAATATTTGGAGAACTGATCCATATGATTTAGGGAAGGTAAGAGTTCCTTCCTGATGGATCTGTCCTTGCATTGCTTACCCTGAGCAAAGTGGTCACTATTTCTATGCTTCAATCTACTAACGTGGCAAAAATGATAATATTTAGGCAGGCCTTTAAAATCCCAAGAGATCTGTGCCAGACTTTACCTGTTTGCTGTAGTGGGAGCTTATACCCACAGCTGCCCAGGGGTAAAGTGTGAGGGTCTTCACTGAGCACCCACTCTGGTTAAAACAGGTGTGTTCTGGGTTAGGAACAGCCAACCCTTGGTCCCCACCTCTGCAGAGGTGAGAGAATGCTGTACCATCTTCAGGACAGAAAGTCTGAAGTAGCTCAGAAATTAGTAATAGTGAATGGGGGTTGTTTTCAATGTGATGTCTTCTGCTCTTCCATCTTTTGTCTGTTTAATCTTTGGAATTGCTGGTACCCATTAAAAGCAGGCAAGCCTTGGTTTGATGGCAGAAGTGGGGGCTGCTGGTGCTCTCCCCAGCTGTGCAGTGGGGTGGTGGAGGGACCTCTGTCTCCTGCCAAACAGAAGTGTCGCCTTATGGTTTTAGATGTGGCTGTTGATGCCTCCAGGCCATCGCTCATGCAAAAGCCTCCTGTCAGAGGCACTGAAACTTCCATAAATTCCCTGCAAATCCACCAGGATCTTCCTTAGAAAATGCATCAGGGGCTGAGATGGAGAGCTGGCCTCAGGCCCATGGTGGTGAGGGGGTGGGTTGGTGGAGCAGGTGGTGTCAGGGGCATGTTGGGGTCCGGGGTGGCCCAGGGCCCCCTTTGCCGGGGTCAGGGTTGGGGTCCGGGGTGGTCCAGGGCCCCCTTTGCCAGGGTCAGGGTTGGGGTCCGGGGTGGCCCAGGGCCCCCTTTGCGGGGGTCAGGGTTGGGGTCCGGGGTGATCCAGGGCCCCCTTTGCCGGGGTCAGGGTTGGGGTCCGGGACCCCCTTGCGGGGGACCCGCGGGGCCGCAGCGCCACCTGGCGGCAGCAGCAGCGCCTGCCCGGCTTCCCTCCTGCCTTGCCGCGCTTCCCCCGCTTCCTTACCCGAACACTGCGGGGATTGTCGAGAGGCTTCTGAGTCACAATTACCGAAAAATATCGTGAAAAATGAGAGAATTTCCCCCAGAAATGGGAAACTGATTCTGTAGTTCTATTAAGTTAAAAAAATCTAAACCTAAAGGGGGTAAAAGCTAACCATGACAGCTTTTTTTTACATCAGTCTTTTTTTGTGTGTTTGGTGTGGTTTTTTGTTTTTTGTTGTTTGTTTTTTGTTTGTTTGGTTTTTGGGAGTTTTGTTTGTTTGTTTTTTTTTTGTTTTTTTTTTTTAAATCAGAAACTGGTGGTTTTTGTAAAGGGCTTCCATAGGAAATAAACAACCTTGCTTGTTAAAATGAATCTCGTCTTGCAATATCATAAGAGATTTGCATGATTTCAAAGGTAATCAAAATTGGTTTATATCCTATGTTTATGGCTCCTTCAGTATGCTTAAATGATTATTATCTGGTGTTTGAAATGAAAATACTTGCTGTTACTTGGAGGGGATGGAGTTTCTGTCAGAAGAATTAACACTACTGCTGGTCCCATGAAGTGGTGGTGGAAGGGCCTGTTGGGGATCCCTGTGCTGCTGGTGCTGGGCTGGTGCAGTTGTCAGTCACCAGGACCTTTCTCCCAGGGCTGTGCCTTGCTTGGGTGGCTGGGGTTTGGGAAGGTGCAGTTCAGGTCCCAGTGCAGGGGGTGTGTGTCTCTGCCCTGGCTGCACCTGTGTGCACTCCCTGAGCTGCAGGCACAGCTCTGAGGCACCGAGGAGGATTTGAGCTGAGGGGGTCCAAAACCAAGCAGCAGCATGGCTCTTCTGGGGCGGAAGTTTTTCCTTAAATTCTGTGTCATTTTCTGCTCTGGGAGGGCCTCCTGCAGCCCCAAGTGCCAAGCAGGGTGAGGCCACGCAGCCACAAGGTCACTGTGCAGCTGGGAGAGCCTCCTGCCAAGTCTGGCCAGGTCGTGCTGGGAAAGAGATTGGGACCTGATAAACGGGGGACCCAGCCCGGGAGGGGAGGCACACGAGCAGCAGGGCTGTCCTCCAGTGCTCTCGGCTGCTGCAGAGTTGCTCTGTCACTGCACAGAAGAGCAGAGGGAGGAGGAAGGTAGAGAAGCTGCTCCAGGATAATCCCTTTAATTAGACTTCTCTGGAGCTCCCTGGAAATTGTTTAAAGAGCCTTAAAAATGCAGCTGCTATACTGAGAAACAAGACTGCCCTCCTGAAATGGAACTGCACAGCTTAGCCTGAATTTTAAATGATGGCTTTGCAAGAGACTGACAGGGTCAAACGTCTCCCCTCCATTTTCTGTAGTGGCTATAGGAGATGTGACCCTCTGAAGTGACAGCAGGGTCAGCAGTCACCAGTGAAGTGCTTTGTCTCTGTGTTGGTGGCAGCACTGCTCGGTGTCTCTCCAGGTTCTGGCTCGTGGTGGTTCACAGGGCCCTGGGCAGTGGAGTGAGACGTGCTGGCCTCCACATCTCATTTTCCAGCAGTCTGGTCATTGGTTGGGTTATATCCAGGGTGAAATGGGGTTCCTTGCCATGTGCCACGTCTCTGTGGATTTATGATGGAATTAGTTGGGATAAAGGATTGCTATTCCTTCATTACCTGTCAGTCAAGGATCACATAAAGAAACTAAAGTACCTGAGTAACACTTGTAGCCCCATCGATGTGTCTGTGCCCTTTGGGTGAGGAACATGGGGTGTTGCTGCTCAAGCTTTCCTGTGCTGGAGGTTTCTCTGTAAACTTCTTTGATGAAAAAAATAAATCTTTTAAGGTAGAAAGATTTTTTTTCAAAGTAAAGTAGATGCCTTCTTATGTACTTCTGGAATACCCAAAGTAGTGTTCCTCACCAAGGTTTGGTTGTGTTTTCCAGCAATCAGAGAGGATGGCATGCCAGGAGGCAGAAACAAAAGCATTGGACCTGTCCAGGTGAGCATGTCTGGCTGTCTCTCCACGGATCCCTTCAGCTCCTGCCTGTCCCTGGGGGTGCCTGGCGTGGTCCCAGAGTGTGACGTGGCCCCCTGGGCAGCCTCACGGCGCCCTGTCCTTTGTGAGCTGCGCAAGGACGTCTCTCCCTCCATGGCTCCCAGTAAATCTCTGGCTGCCTGCTGCAATCCCTTCAGCTGTGGCAAGCGGGGCACCAGTAAATGTCTCTCTGATTGATGGTGCAGCTTGTCCAGAGATGCCTTGTAAAGCGCGAGGTAATTCAGCACAGCAGCTTGTGCTGCACACGTGAGAAATGATGGCCATTTCCAGCTCACTTCTGGAAAAGGGGGCTTTTAAAAGTTTACTGTTGATTTTAACAAAAGAGAAATAACACTGAAAGCATTTTCTGTGAGTCTGAGTGCCTGGGAAAGACCAAACCCAAACTGTGAGAAGCCAAACAGCCGCTCTGGCTGCGCAGCAAGTGGGGAGAGCTACACAGTGCAGCCCTGCCTGGGGTCAGCACCAGGGAGAGCCTACCTCAAGCAACAAAAGTCCTCTTCGCTGTCTGCAAACATCACATTCATAGCAGCATTAGTTACTGGTTTTAAAAGCCTGTTTAAGTCTGTTGAAGAACAACAAACATTTCATTTCTGACCAGGTAACAGTTTTCACTTCTCTCTGAGCTGTGCAACTGCACTACAGCAGCAGCCTTTGCTCACCAGAGTGGGCCCTTGCTCCTGTGAGGCATTTGTGATCTGCCCCTGCTGGACCAGAGGTTCTGCTGTCCCCTCCATTTCCTGGGCTGAGGCTGTTTAGGTACTGCAATCTCCAGGTCCTGTGCCCGGGTGAGCTCACCGAGTTCTTCTGCAAGAGTGGAATGAACTGTCTGAGCAATGTTTGCCTCTTGAAACTGATGTTCAGGGTTCACTGCACTTCCTTGCCACATGCTGACACGAGGTCTTCTAATGGTTTGTGACAGCTTCACTAAGGAACATGCACAGAATAGGAAAAAAAAAAGCCCCAGAACTTTTATGTTGCATTTTCCCCACTACTGGTGCAACATTCCTCCAGGAGCATGTCCAGCACTTTCTTGAAACTTTGTATTTCAGTGAACTCTGTTTTAACTTTTTTTTAGTCCATTTTAGCTTCATATATGTTATTCTCTAATACTTGTTTTAAGTATTAGATGCTTGATCACTACTTCAGGTGCCAACTGGTTCTTAGCTGGGGAAAGATAGAGAACTATGATTCCCTGTAAATGTTCATGCTGATTTTATGTGTCACCTTGCCTCTCAGTTGCTTTATCAAACCAGTGCCTTCCCCACCTTCTGTTTGTCTTCCCCTTTGCCAGTGCTGAGTGATGTTCCTGATGCACTGACCTCAATTACTCCCAGGTTTTTCACGGTGTGACAGTGGCTGATTTACAGTGTCCATCTGACATCATCTTTTCACGTGCCCATTCCTGTCTGCTGCGTTACCATCACTTGAATGGCACTGCAGGAACTGGGGGTCACCACGATTAGCTGTAAATAGAATGTTTCATGTGTGTTTTTAAATGCAAAGGAAGGATGTGGTACCTGCAGGAGGGGCGGAGGGGGGCAGCCCTGTTGGATGTGACTGAACAGTCAAGGTGTTTACAGGCAGAGAGAGGCTCTACCTTCTGTTCTCAGCTAAAGTAACCATCATGTCTTGTATTTGACAGATATCAGAGGAAGAGATTGAGAGAATTATGTCTGGGCAAGAGTTTGAGGGAGAGGCAAATATGTCATGGAGCAACAACGGAGACAGTGATCACAGTTCCCCTGGAAATGGAGTTTCTGAGAGCAACCAGCCTTCACCTGTTTCTACGCCATCTTCAAGGTGGGAATGACCCCTGGAAGAATTTGGTGTTAGAGGAATCTTGGCTGTCTTTCCCTGAGTGATGCTTGAGGTCAATGTAGGGAAAACACACGTGAGTGCATCTTTGTGCAAACTGGGCATATGGCAGGTTCCCACTACCTCTCTGTGTTTTAACATGAACAGGACTGGATTGAAAAGAACTGAACTGGGAGGTGCTCGTGAGCAGATGAAAAGAAAAGCAATCTTGAGTTAAGTTTGAAAAGTATCTCAATTTGTATTGATCATCCTTTCTGCAGATCATGGGTACTTGATTACCTTTTACTGCTCACTCTGCATAAACTCTTTTTCTGCACCATGCTCAGATTTTGAAAATAAAAGACTCCATTTAGGTTAATAATTGGTGGTGTTAAATCAGTTACTGTGAGTGCAAACCTGATGCAGCAGAATCTCAGACCTGATCCCGTCTGCTTTCAGCTGCATCTCAAACATGGCCATGTTTGTGCTCACTGGCTGTGGAAGTACTGTAACGTGCAATCCTAAATTCTGGCCCTGTCAGGAAGCTGGGCTGGAAAGACTGTGCACAGGTGGGTTTCTGCTCTGCTCCCTGAATGGCAGCTCGGCAGCAACTCCCAGATCTCCATTAACCAGTGCCTGGCTGGGCTCAACATGCAGCCAGCACACGACTTCTGATCCACACACTCAGTTATTTCCAGGGCAGGGTTTAAATACAGTTTATTTCCTATTCTGTTTGCTTTCCCTGTTTTTATTAATGTTTCTGGCAGAGCTGGATGCAACACTGTAATGAATCAAGTGGAATTTCTGGGGTATATTGAAGAGCTTTTCCTTTTGCAGTAGGTCCGTGGAGCTGAACGGGTTCGCCGCACTCAGGGATCAGTACATCGGCACACCGGTGTCCACGCACTATCAGTACCTCCCGCACCTTTTTAGCTACTCTGCTCACTCGACCCTGGTGCCCCCCCAGACGCGCAGCCTGGACCCCCAGTCTCACAGTCTGATCAACCAGCTGGTGTCGGCGGAGGACCTGGAGCCGCTGGGGACGCCGATGCTCATCGAGGACGGGTCAGTGTGGGCGGCACGGCGCGAGGGGCTGCCCGGGCTGCGTGTTCCTGCTGGGATGGGGGGCCACAGGGGCCCTGGGAGAAGGTGCAGCCATAGTGCAGGCAGCACACCGGACCCCATCCCACAGGTATCCTGTGCCCTTGCCTGGTGCTGGAGCTGGGGTGCACGGACCTGGCACCAGGTCACCAGGTGACACCCTGGGCACTGGCACTTTGGCCACTTGAACACGAATTCCTGTGTGTTCACCTTGTTTTCAAGTACCTCATCAGGTGATGTCGTGCAATGGTTTTAATGGTTTTTGCCTTTGTTTTAACTGTGCCTGCAGGTATAAAGTGACTCAGGCAGAGCTGTTTGCGTTGTTGTGTCGTCTGGCAGATGAATTGCTTTTCAGGCAGATTGCTTGGATCAAGAAGCTGCCGTTCTTCTGCGAACTCTCCATCAAGGACTATACCTGCCTGCTCAGCTCTACGTGGCAGGAGCTGATCCTGCTCTCCTCCCTGACTGTTTACAGCAAGCAGATCTTTGGTGACCTGGCAGATGTCACCTCCAAGTACTCTCCCTCTGATGACGAGCTGCACAGGTGAGATGTCAGGCTGAGCCCACGGGTAGGACAGTGAGATCTAGAGATGGAGGAGCTGTGGGGAGGACAGTGGTCAGGTGCTCTGTGACCACCTCTCCTGTCACTTCACCTGCACCTGTTTTCCTTTTCTGCTTTTTAGGGAACAGTTGTTCCAGGCCTAGAAAGCACACCAGGGTTAGTCAGTGCTGGATCACAACTTCCTGCTGCAGGGAAAGGGCCACGGTGCTGTGTGGTGCTCTTTGAATTTTGTAGCAGTGCTGTTCTCCTCCAGCACAGCCCTACAAAGCATGTTTTTATGAGGAGAGTAAACCTAACCAACACTTTTGGTAACTCTGAGATACAGGAAAGAGAATTTATTTAAAAACCCATTGGGTCAGTGGAGAGGCTGTTCACAAAGCTAGTTGTCTCTATTATCAAAGTGTTCATAATTAATTGCTATTTCATTGTTTTGATTACATAAATTTAAAAATGTTGCAACTTAGCTCTTGTTTTTTCCATGGTACAGACTATCTGATGCTCTGGGGAACTTGCCTGCCATTTATCATTTTGGTCAGGGTGTTGTTTTTTTGGTTTGGATGTTTTGTTTTGTAGTCTTGGTGCCAGACAAATTCTCCTTTTGGTAGAAGAGTCACAATCTCCCAATATTACGGCAGAATAGGTAGGATTTAGGGAAACTGCTGCCCACTCTCCCTTTAAAACCTGCCTTGCACGCTCTGCCCTTGCTGGGCTCAGCGATGCTGCCAGAGTCTGTGCTCCTCAGCCACTGCGGTGTCTCACAGTTCTGAGATACCTTTGTGCATCTGTTGTGACAAGCAGAGGCGCTGGCGGGCTGAGACCACGGTGGAGAGGAGAGCTGGCCCCAGGTGTCTCATTTCCTGGGGCAGGTTCCTCCGTGCCGCTGTTCTGCCTGGCCATTCATCGTGCATCTGGTGCTGCTCCTGCGAGGAGCAGTGAGGGTCATAGAAAACCACAATGACACTTGTTCCTGCATTCAGCTGTCCTTTTGTTCCTGCTGTCCTGGTCAGAGCCTCACAGGGGAAGTGTTTCTTTCATTTTGGATTTGTGATAAATACAAGTGAGGGCTAAGACAGCGAGACAAAGGAGGAATCCTCGCCCTGCAGAAACCGGCGATTCAGAGCTGGTCGCCTCAAAGGTCCTTCAGAGAAGATCTGTGCACATGGATGAAAATAGGTGTTCTTGGGAGAGGAATGCTTCTGCAGTCTCTTCTGATTTAGCTTTTCAAGTGTCATTAATTGTCATTAGTAACCTGGGAGAATGCACACCCAAAAAGCCATTTAGTGGGAAGCTGTGCAGATGAGGGGTCTCGAGCTGCGTGGCTCCCTCACACTTGTCTTCATGGTCCTGCAGCCATAGCTTCACTGTCTGCCAGCAGCCATGGGATAGCTCCTGGGTATCATCTCCCTGTCCAAAGCACTCGTGAAAAAGCCAGTCCCTTCAGATTTGAGAGGGGCTCTCTCAGAGAGGAGTCCGACTTGTTCGGAGAGCCCCTGGTTCCCCTGACATTGATGACTGCAAAGCAACTTCAGAGATGGTTGGAGAAATCTCACTGAGCAGGGATAGTCTGGCACTTGAGGGTTAATTTCTGCTCTTAGCAAAATGACAAGAGCAATGCTAATGTGTAGGTGACAAACAAAGACATAGGATGAGCTCCCCAGCCCCTGTGTTTTAATCACTTCTAACAACTGGCTAAATGTTCTGTTAGCCTGCTAGATCAAATGTTTTCTTTTATTGTGCTGTTTTTCTGAAGATGAATATGAAATGAATAGACTCCTGACCTCCCCCAGCACTCCTGATAGTGCTTCCCTTCCCTCTCCTCCCCAGCTGATCCCGATAACTCCCAGCCAGAAACTCGCCTGGTGTAAACTGCGAGGAAAAGTGTGGAGGAGTCAGTCCTCGAGAAGAAATAAGGCTGTGAAAAACAGAACAGCTTTGTTTGAAAGGGGGGAGGAAAGTATGTGCAGAAAGTAAGACAGTTCAACTGCAGGAATGAGAGAAGAGCTCTCCTGGATTTATGAAGTGATGAGTGGCTGGTAAAAATGTGCATGCTCTAAAAACAATTAAACCCAACAGACGACTGAGTGGTCTTTGTGCTCATTAACTTCTTGAGCTTTGCAATCTTGCACCTGCAAGATTTTTAATGTCAACTGGAGAGCAAGAAAACTTGTACAACTTTAGATTAGCCGACAAGGCTTTCATCACTTACAATATTACTTTCTTGAAGAAGTGACCTGGAGTTCAGACAGCTTGTTTTCACTTCGCAGAGGTTGAACTCCACCATGCATTTTACAAATAACTTTGAAGTAAACAAACACACATGCCAAAATAAGGTATTATTCCGTGAAAAAGGTTCTATTTCTGTTCTATTCAGAGATGCTTTGCTGGCTGTGCTCTTGTGCTTTGTGCTGCACAATGCCAGAGCACGCTGAAGCTTCCCGAAACACTTCTGTCCCACTTCTGAGCACTTTTTAATATGTGGTTTCTTTGAAGCCAGGGCTATTGCTGTGAGATGTGCTCCTGAGAGGCTGTTCTGGTCCTGGGTGGGTGTGGGATGGTCTGGAGGTACCTGCAGACACTGGCACCCCTCCACACCCTCCCGCTCTGCTCCAGCCTGGTCCTTACCCCGTGGCTTATTCATGGTGCACACATGGGGTATTTACTCCTGAAGAGGCTTGGCACCCCCTTCAGCAGGAAGATCTGGTTCTGCACCCACAAAATCTCCATCAGGCAATTTCCCAGGAGACTTTTTGGAGACTTGCATTCCCTGTGCATCAGTGTGCCTTGTCCTACCCATCTCTGTCACTGGTTCTGGTGCAGATTCCTGGCTCCATCAAACCTTCTCCACTGTCAAAGCAGGCTGGTGGTGAACTGAATCACCAACAGATGTTTTTTTGCCATAAATATCTGTAACAGTCAAGTTTGTGGACTTCCCATCCCTAGTGCAACCATGTGGATGGGACTCTGAGTAACATAGTCTAGTAGAAGGGATGGAATGAGATGATCTTTGAGATCCCTTCCAACCCAAACCATTCAGTGATTCTATGACTCTGTTTGTAACTGAGACATTTTCCTCCTTACTTCTACTTTAACTTAATAATGCCAACAGACTTTGAGACAAAAAATGGATGACAATATTTTTTAATTTTCTTGCAAAATGTTAAAATCTCTGAATACTTTTAAAAGCTTCTTGCCTTTACTGTACGGTCCATGTGCTGCATTTGCTGACGTGTGGTCTCTGTCCTGCAGATTCAGTGAAGAGGGGATGGAGGTGATGGAGCGCTTGATCTACCTCTTTCGCAAATTTAACCAGCTGAAGGTCAGCAACGAGGAGTACGCGTGTATGAAAGCCATCAACTTCCTCAATCAGGGTGAGTCTGCAGACAGGGACTCTGAAACAGTCTGAGCAGTCATTGCTTCCCTGGTGGGAAATGGGAGGAAGGGTCCAGGAGCCACGAAGAGGCTCAAGCTCTGAACGCTCCGTGTGTATGAGCCATCGTGCTCACTCACATCCTGTACCTGTTGGGTACCCACATGGAGAAACCTGGAATGGGATGAAGTTTTTATAGCCTTTAATATAGGCAATAGATGTGTCATCTGAAAATATTACTGCTTTAGGTAACTGTTCAGTTAACTGCCTAAACAATGCTTTAAAACCAGTTAATTTGCATGGCTTTCTTTCTGAAGTAAATGATGACTACTTGCATAACAACCTTCCAAAGATTCACAGTTAGAAAAGGTATTGGTTCATTTTTGTGTCTTAAAGGGTGAATTTGTAAAACCAGCCCTCCCATGTTTAGAGCTTTTCTGACTCTTTAAAATATTTACCTCGAGGATATATCCTTAGGTCACTTAGCCGTATTCCTGCTTTTTAGGTTCAGTACCTAAATCTGACTCTTCACAGTGAAGGGTGATCACAGATGAAGTATCGATGTGCAGGCCATGAATTCAGCCTAGCAAAGGGCTGTAAATCTGCTGATTAAGCAGCACACTAAAGCTGGTAGTCCTGGCTACTTCAAGACCCCGGACATTTCAAAATCCATGCAGAGGCAAATGCTCAATAGATGGTGTTCGTCTGTAATTTTGGAAATAAATGTCCCCAAAGTATTTTGTACTGTGAAAGATAGTTGCAGTCTGTAAAAATGTGCTGCAGGCTCCCTCCTCCCCCACTCATTTCCAGCAGGAGATAGTGCTGACACTTCAATCTGTGCTGGGCTGAGGTTCCGGTTTGCTTCCCTGAGCAGTTTCCTGACACTGGATAATGCACTTCTCAAGCTGTCTCCATTGTTTTCCAAAATGTATTTTCATTAACTTCCTGTCTTCTTTTATTTTTAGTTGAAGTTTGCAATTTTTTATGTGAAATACCTGAGACTTATTTTTAAAAGTCAGCTTTTGGGCAGTAGATGAATGCCTCTTCCGTCAGATGCTCCCACAGTTGCGAGCCTGCTCCGAGGGCCCGCAGCTCCCTCGCTGTGCAGGGCCCTCCCCAGGCCCCAGCAGGGTGCCCACACTGTTGGTCACAGTGCCAGTGGCCTTTCTTGCCTGTCTGTTTGTCCTTTGTGTGTGTTGCCTGACATGGCCAACGCTAAATTTAAAAATAAGAAGTTAACAAGTTTGTGAAGCTCTTGTGATATAAATCATAAGCAGATGGGGAGAGATGTGGTGATATCTTGAATTATAGAGCTGAGCACTGTTCTCAGCCAAGATGATACAGCTCAAACCAGCGTGTTTCTGCCTGAGGAGGTGTTACACTGATGTGCTGTGAGGACTGAACCCTGACACACGGCTACGCCGTGCCAGGCAAGCATTTCAGGTTGCTGGAACTGTAACCTCCGAGAGTGTTCACTGAGCTGCAGATGAGCAGCTTATGATATTAGCTGTTCTCTTCCCCCTTTGTGGAGGGAAATCCTGTATCCAGACGTGCATGTAAAGAGCCATGATGCAGGTATGGCAGGAGGGGAGTTGGGAATTTTAGTATTGGTAGAACTGGGTGCTGGAAGCCAGTCTCCAAAGCAGTGATCCAGCTCAGAGTGACAGAAATCAGTGTGTCCTGAGGAAGTGCAGTAAGTGCAAGGCTGCTGCTCTTCTGGCATATTTTTGTCATGTTTTCATTGCTGTATTGCATTCTCTTGCAGACATCAGGGGGCTGACCAATGCATCCCAACTGGAGCAGCTGAATAAGCGGTACTGGTACGTTTGCCAGGATTTCACGGAGTACAAATACCCACACCAGCCAAACCGCTTCCCGGACCTAATGATGTGTTTGCCAGAGATAAGATATATTGCAGGTAACTTCTTGAGCTCTTCTCCCACCAGGATCGTGTGCAAGTTATGAAATGTGCTTTTGAAAGAAAATGAATTTATAACAGTGAAATTCTTGTTGACTTTGGTGGAGGATGTTTGTGGGGGACCTTTTCCTGTCGGAGCTTCTTGCCCACCTTTAAGGCATTGCCTCAAGCTCACCCAGCCAGAGTGGCAACAGGCAAGGTGTCCTGGTGATGATGGTGGGCACAGGGTTCCTTCCTGCTCCAGGAAGATGTGCCTGGCTCTGACCTGACATCCTTGAAGTACTTTGGTCAGGTTCTCCTTTTCTATCTTTCAACCCCAACTCAGAGGCATTGTGTCTCAAAAGGGTGTAATCCTGGTTCGAGTAGTTGTAAAAACTAGAAAGATCCCTGAAATGCTGCTGAATTAAGGAGAAGGTGGTCAGAGCAGTGGGCAGACCTGCAGTATAACCCCCAGGTTTCCACTCGTGTGGACCTCGGAAATCTGCAGGTGAATTCTCAGCTGCAGTTGTCGCTAATTAGATCTCCAAGGTCTGGTGTTACTAAAACTGTTTGTTCCTGAATGTTATGGCAAAGGAGGGATACTTGCCTCCCCGTGTCAAGGCTCCATATGCTTTATCCTACTCCGTCATAACGAACTAGATAATAATCTCGGAGTAGCTCTCCTAATTTACTCATGGAGACCAACAAGGGGGTTTGAGGAGAGACGGGATTTAGTCCTTCCCACTTTCTATAAATACTGCTCCATTGTGGACAAATCATTTTGATCTGACTTTGCCCATTTATTTTGCTTTCTATTCAGTAAATAATAAATCACGCTGTGTCCAAATGAATATCAAATGTCTAATGTAGCTGTAGGATGATTAACTGCTTCTCTGAGAGGTTCAAGGTAAAACCATCTCCAGCACTGCTGGCTTAGGTGTCTCTGAAATCTGATTCAGGAGTGGCTGCTAATTCTGATTTCTTTCTTACCAGGAAAAATGGTGAATGTCCCCCTGGAGCAGCTGCCTCTCCTTTTTAAGGCCGTTCTACATTCCTGCAAGACGAGCGTGAGCAAAGAGTGAGCCCAGCTGGCCCCGGCCGGTGCCTTACGCTGTGAGCTGGCTCACCCCGGGAGAGGGGCAAAGGCCATCCAGGCAGGAGATGGGGCAGGGGCGGCCCTGCCCTTGTAGCAAGAATCTTTTTTGTTTGTTTTTGTTTTTTTACTCTTTTTCCTATATATTTATTTCACGACAGAGTTGAATGTATGATCTTCAACACGATGCACATGGTTCTGTAGGAATGCAGCAGATGCATTCTCCAGCGGTTTACAGAATGTGAAGATGTTTAATGTTACAGTGTTTGTTAGGGTTAGTTCTTTTGTATTTGGGGCTGGGGACCGAGATGACTAAGACTACCTCAAGGAGAAGATGCTGTTCATGCACTGCTCTTTCCATGGTTTGTATCCAAAAGCGTTTGTCATAGAGAGCAAACGGCCTCCCCGTGTCGACAGAGCTGTTGGTACCCCAAAGGGACGACTTTGGAGAATTGGGTAGTAGAGAAGTGCCAAGCTTTTTTCTTTAAGTTTAAAAAGGCAGGGAGTGGAGAAGAAGGAGAAGCCTGTCTGGGCAGTTGGTTTCTTTTCCCCTGGCAGTTTCTAGATGCAGGTTTCCCAGTGGGATGGCAGTGTCTGGAACTGTGAGGGGCTTGCTGCCCCTGTATCCCTCTGGGGAGCTGTGGGCAGGGGTCTACCCCAACCCCTCCTGGCCAGCTGCCCTCTCACTATTCCCACAACATGTTCCAATTCCACTGAAATTTTGTTCCTGCAGTTCGTAGCAGGCTCCTGGCATTACACAAAGGTGCTCTTGTTGCTAGAGAACTGCAAGTACTTTCTCATCACTTCCTTAACATCCATTTTAGATTCACAAAAGCAGGAAAAACCTACTTAGAGAAGAGGCAGGATTGCCCCCTTTATTGTGTTCTTCTGAGATGGTACCTGACTCTTGAAGCTTCTGCAGTGCAGCAATCCCCATTTCTGGGAGCAGTTAATGTACCATGTGGTTAAATGTGACCTGTGTAATGGGGTGAGGGACTCCAGTGTCGTCTGGTATGGCTTTCTCTGCTGGACTCAGGGAATGTGTGTTTCATAGTTCATCCTGCCAGGACTGTTCTGCTGCTTGTGGAATCTTAGGAAAAACAGCATTACTGCAGTCCTTGGTGACCTGCTCTGTCCTAGGTGTTGCAAGGCTTGGATTTTCTATTTGCAAGCTCCCCACCGCTCCAGATGGGGAACTGGTTTGATGGCAACTGATTAGTTGATGGAGTGATTGCTGAGTGCTGGTGTTCAGCTTAACTTAGGCATTCTCATGAGTGATCTCATGGCTTCTGCTCATAGTGGGGAGGTTGGATGACATGCTCTTGTTCTCATCTCCTTCAGTACGAATTAATGTTCAAAGACTCAGTCACTCTCCTAGACAGTCCTGGCTAGATTTCCCTCCCTGTCTCCTTAGATGTAGATCTGACATTTGTGTAGCAATATGGTTCATTGACAGGTGTTTGAATACTGATTTAAAAATATTTGGGGAAACAGCTTTTGATCCTTCAGGGTCGAAGGGACGAGTCGCTCCCTCTTTGGCTTGCCCTGATGACAGCGTGGCACAGGGCGGGCACAGCCCGGGGGAGCTGCAGCTGCCGTGGATGAACGTGGTGGGGAACAGGAGAAAAATCCCATTCACCAAAGTCGTCTTCCCCTCGCTCCCTCCCTCCCCCCTTCTCTCCCCCCGGCCCAGCGGGTGCTCCCTGGGTGCAGCCCCTGGGACACGGTGACCCCTGGCTCGGCACGCCTCGGTCAGGCAGTGGCGGTGCCGATGGCTGCGCTCGCCCCACTGCTGGCTGGGCACCCCCTTGGGCATCTTCAGCTCAACGGTTTCCCTTTTCTCAAAGTCCATAGCTGCTGATTTGTCATTATTTAAACAGGATGTTACGGGTAACAGCTGCTGGGCCCAGCAGCAGCTCAGCTCGATGGAGCTTCACACCCAAAGGTGGTTCCGTAAATCTCATTTACTTTGACAGTACAATGAGACACACGTGTATTCTCAGGAAAGCCTTCTGCATACAGCCTATACCTCATGTGTACAGGGGAAGATTGTAGTGTACCTGTTTGTAAGTTAGAAAGTATTTCTCAGCTTTTAAGTTTAATTTCTGAATAGCTTGATATGATCTTTTTATTACGGGTTATTTCTGGCTTGCTGTTTTATACACTCAAGGAATTGTTAAAATTACATAGGAGTAATTTTATTCTACAGTGAATTATTATAATCTGTTGATAAGTGTTTTAATTAGTGTACATAAAAACAGTCATCTTATTGCCAGCCATCCAACAAAATAATCTATTGGGTAATCTGTGGTTTTCCAAAATAGCCTCCCAAAACTAATGCTGTACCAACAACAACCAAAAACCTAAATGCAGTTAGGATGATGAACGGACATGACATTTCTACTTTCTGTTGTAGAAAGCAAATTTTCCAAAGGTTGATTGGCAGCAGTATCCGTTCCCAAGTACTCATTTGCTGTAGGGAGTAGAAAATCCTTCCTGAACTGACAGGTAGGGAAGCAGCAAACAGAACAGAATCACCGGACAGTCATTCCTGATATCTTCTGCACCAAGTCCTCTAACGACTTGTATTTTTTAAACAGGGTAAAGTGAATGTGTTGCATTGCAAACTCAGGTATTATGAGAAGGTAGGAGTGTAGCTAGAGACGTAGAGATGTTAGGTCAGTCACTAGATGTATTTGTGAATTTGGTTTGAAGGACACCCTGGAAAGGTTGGAATTTTTGTTCCATTCTTCACGTAACATTCGGTTTACAGGGACTCATATTTTATTTGTGCTTAATGCTAGTAGGGGGAAGTTCATTATCTTAGGTACCTATCTGCTCTTGCTTATCTGACCTTCTGTCAGAGAGGAATCAATCAACAATAATAGTCTTTGGTAGAATTTTCTGCCATGACAAGTCAATTTTTATCCCTGATTTGAAAGATAAATTGGTTGGCTGACCCCCTCCTCTCCTTCAAAGCGTCTGTGCAGATGGAAAGCTGAAGAGTTACTTTTAATCCGAGCAGAGATTTGGGACATAAATTTGAAGCTCTTGGGCTCATGTTCTTGGAGGGTTGGTGCTGAGGGGTCCTCGCTGCAGTTGTGCAGTTTGAAGGTGTCCCCAGGCCAGGAGTGGAGCAGGAACTGCTGCCACCGGCTGATGGGGCGAGTGTGAGCCCCTGGGGCCTCAGCAAAAGCTTTTGGAAGGTGCCTGAGTTTTCTTCCACTTGAGCTCAGGCTCCTGCCGGGTAGGGAGTCCTTGTCCTGAGCATGTCCAGCCCTGCAGGAGGGCAGGGGATGAGGGGCATCCAGGATGCTCAGAGGTGCTGGGCACCCCAAAACTGGTGGGCTCTGGGCATGGCAGAAGTGCAGTGGCAGGAGCTCACTCTGCACTGCGTTGCGTGTGCATTAGGTACTGCTCAGCTGTGAATTGTGCCAGTGGCCGTCATCTTTCTCCTCTCATGCCCACCGTGCTCTGCAGAGGCACTGTGTGCTTTGGGTCATCCAGGAGCAACTCTGGACTCCTCTGGGACTCTTAAATCCACAACTTTAATTCTGAAATCTTTTGCCATGTCCCAGCACACACAGGGCGCAGGGGGCAGGCGGGTGAGCCGCGGTCAGTGGGATCATCAGCCAGTGCAGCTGAGCTGCTGCCCCAGTAACACCCCTGTTCCCAGTGCTGGGGCATTGCTTTGAGAGTGAGGGGTCCCAGGGATGTGAACAGGGCTCCTGGGCTGCTCTGGCTTGCCAGGGTAGGCCTGGGTGGCTGTGCCACCACCCTGCAAAGGCTCAAGTGCCACTCGCTGCTGTCCCTCCTGTGCCACACATGGCAGGATCTGCCCTGGCTCTTCAGGCTTCTGCACAGACCCGCAGCCACCTCAGGTTCAGGAGTTTAAGTCTTGTCCTTCAAACCAACTTTTTTTAACAAAACTTGAATTTCTTTTACCTTTACTACATTTTTTAAAAGTTAAAAAAGGAAAAAAAAAAAAGATTCTCCTGTGAATGTGCTATTTCCCGCTCGTTCTTTCTTCCTTCTTAGTTTTGATTTGAAGCTATGAAGCTCTGTGTCTGTGAAAATGTTGTTATTTCTCAGGATAATAAGCGGCAATCATCCCTGCCACATGAAAGGCAGGAGAAAGGGGGAAACTTGGGGAACTAGTTTAAGTATGAAACTAATTTTTAAGTTGTAGATGATGTGTAAATGGAGGGAAATGCATAGGTGTCAGTGTCAAGCTGTGGTGTTTCTCTGGGTTCACGGTGTGTTGTTTCAATACACAGAAGCTCAGGGATAAGTATTTAAAATGTGACCCAGAGAAACCCTAGTTTTGATGTTGCAACAGTTGCTTCTTTCATGACTTGTCTGAGAGCTGACCAAAGCCCCGTATGGGGATTTTGGAGGAAAAGCTTTAGGTTTGGCTGTGGGGTTTGCCTGCTGAAGGCTCAGGTGTGGTTCTATGGGCAAGCATCCCCAAGGTGTGTGGTGCTGCCAGCACATCAGCCCCTGGGTCTGGGGGAGGTTTGTCTCTATTTCTGCATTACCTCATCCTCCTGCCTTTGGTGTTAAATGCATTTGAGTGCTCGTGGAAAAGGGGAAACAAGAATTCCTCATTGTGCCCCTGGCAGCCAGTCCCAGGGCTCTGGACTCTGTTGCTTATGAATTACGGCATCTTAATTTCCACCAGTACAACTTTCTCACCGTGGTCAGAAGGTTGTAGTCAGAGAGAGGGACTGGTGGATTACACCTGCTACGAGTGTCCGAACGGCCCGTCCAGCCGTGGGCAGAGCCAGCGCTGAACCAAAGCCAGTGAAAGTTTGCAGGGCTGAAACTCCCCTCCCAGCACCCTCAGCCAGCATCCGCACACTGGAGCTTAAATGGGCCCACAGAAAGACGGGGAGGCAAATCCAGGCAGTGTCTTCCCCTTGGAAAAAACCTTCTAAATAGCTCCTGTGAGCTGCCTCTGACAAGTCCGTGAAAGAAGCAACATGGTTCAGTGGAAGAAAAACCTCCAAGGGCAAAAAGAAACAGAAATTGAAACCAGGTGACGATCAACCTTAACAAAGCCTTTTGTGATTCATTGTTTTCTTTCAATTTATAAAATATCTTGTAATAGTTGATAACATTATTGACTCAATTTCCATAACTAAACTACCTCGTGTGACATCCTGTTTATCATCTCAAAGGGATTGTGTGAAAAACTAAACACTGCCAGTGTCTGTTGCCAGCGAGGAACAGGGGCTGTGATGGCTGAAATTGTGACTCCCTTCTCATGGGAGCCCCTCCTGGAGAGGTCGTGGCTCTTGTTAGTTTGGTTTTTGTTGGTGCCCATCCAGCCTGGCTCCAGCTCAGTCCTGGTGCAGAAGCTGTGTCTGTATCTGGGACCACACAGCTCCCTGTGTGTCCGTCCTGGGCAGGCAGCGGGGCCGGTGTGCTGTGCGTGCTTGTGTCGGCCCCTCGCTGGCTTGTGGGATGTTTCCAGGAGGGCTGCTCCAGGTTGTTGGGTCCTTCTGCTGCAGTTCCAAAGGGTGGTTTCTCCCATTCATTTTTCCCACAATCCCTTGTGTAAGTCAGGGAAGCAGGATGTTGCCTCAGCACGACACCCGGTGACCATTGGCACACTCAGAGCCGGGGCTGGGGCAGGGCGGCGTGTCCGGCCGGTGCCGCCCTGGCCCCGCGGGTGCCGCGCTGTGCCCGGGAGCTGCCCCTCGTCCCTGCGCCACGACCAAATGAATGTCTGTGCCGGCGTGTCCGGGCGGGACCGGCGCCAGCCCATGTCAGCCCGGCCTGCCCCTGCTCCGCTGCTCTGCTCTGGGACTTGACTACCTGTGGAAATGTGACCAATAAGTGTTGAATGCATGTTTAGCGAGTGTTTAGCTGAATGAACTAATAAATGTGAATTGTTCTGCAGTGCTGGTGTCTGCTGGTCCCTTGCACCTTCCCCCTTTGGCAAAGGCTCTCTCTTGGGGTTGGGGCCCCCGCAGGGTGTGGGAGCCCAGTGCCGGTCTGGGTGGCAGCCATGGCACTGCCCTGCCCTGCCACTACCCTGGAATCATCTCTGGGTCCGGGGAAGGCCTCGGTGCTGTTGGTGCAGCTGGGACTGGGATGAGGGCACAAGCCCTGCCCAGAGCAGCTGCACCATGGGCTGGCAATGACCTCTGCTGAGAGCAGGGTTGTCTGGGGGGACCCTGCACCTTGGGGCGACAGGAGTGGAGAGAGTGCAGAGTGAAGATTTGCACAGTCTCTGGGCCCTGCCAAGCAATGGGTGCATGGTGGTCCCCATCTCCTGTCTGGGTCCCAGGAGGGGAAAGCAAGGGGATGGGTTTTCTCCTTTTAGTCATTGCACCCCTGCACTCACGGCATGGCCGCTGCACTGCTGTCACCAGGGGGTTCCAGTCTGGGGGATGACCAAAACGTGTGGAGGTTTGGGTGGGTCACTGTCACCACAGGGTGTGGCAGGAGGAGGGTTTGCACCATTAGCAGCAGGAGGAGTCATCCAAAGAAGCAACTGCACCAGAGATGCTTGGCCAGCGTGCTCCAGAGAGAGGAACTGCAGGAATCATTTAGCAATCCCTGGTGTTGCTGAGGTGGGTGTGTGTTAAAAGCCTGAGCAGCTCTTTCCACATTCACACTCCAGTGCATGGGAGCACACGTGGGGGCCCACTCAGATGTCGTGCAGCTGCAAAGGCAGCTCCAAGTGAGCAGCCAGCCCCGCTCTGCAGGTCCTGTCAGGAGCGGCTGCCCCGCTCCTCTGCTGAGCGCTCTCAAGGCTCCTGCCCTCTCATTGTGTTTGTTTTCCTTGCTGACAGCATTCCCCTCGGCGCAGCAGCTCCAGCGGCTTTGACACGGTGCCACCCGGGATTCATCCCCTGTGATGGGGCCCTGGAGGCCGGCAGTGGAGGGTCTCTCTGGGAGGTGGCAGAGGATGCTCCATGCACGTGGGGTGATGGGTTTGTCCTTACCTTCAAACCAAGCTGGAGCTGCACAGAGGTGACAAGGGGGCTTTTCCCCTCACTCTGGCACAAGGGGCTGCCTGGAAAGGAGGACTGGAGTGGGAAAAGTACCAGCACATTTTAATTTTCAGCTCAACCCCTACTGACCACTGTATTTTGATTAGAGCTCTGCTTCCTTTTCATCTCGGTGCTCCAGCAGGTGACAACTGCCACAGCCTCGTGCACGCGGCGCAATAGTTTATCGCCGAAGGCCAGCGGCTCTATGAATTCAGAGCCAGCGCAGAACAAATCACACTGTCACCAACGTCAAACTTGTTAACCTGATCTTTGGTGGATCACTAGTGTCAACATTGCACGGGACATACATTATCAGGCCCAAGGACTTTGGGAGATGTTTGTCAGGCTGCTCTGTCACAGTCCCACTCTTGACCTTCGCAAAGTAACTTTCAAGGGTAAGTTGCTTTCCTCTTGACAAGAGTGGCTGTTCCCAGGAGTGTCACCCCATGGGCAGAAGCTGGGACACGGCTGTGGGGTCAACTGGGTCACCTCCCTGCAGCATTGGGGTCAGCCCAGCAATGGTGAAGGATCTGCTGGGATGGTCCTGTGAGGCCTCTTCCAGGGTTGGGGGAGGTTTTCCATTGATGTCCATGCCTGCCCATATCTATTCCATGAGCTTCTCCCCATCTTGTCACCAACTGGTCCCACATCTCATCTCTTGCCTGGCCACTGTCCTTTTGGAGTTTAAACCTGAAACCCAGACTGCTGAGTGCAGCAGACTGGTGGGCTGCCATTGACCAGACCATCACAAGTCTCTCACATCTCAGTTTGCCAAGTGTGGGTGCTTCTGAGGGGTTGGTCACTGCAGAGGTCAGATGAAGGACATGCCACCACAGCTGGGCTGGTAACAGCAGGGAGAGGAGGTGTGTGCTCCCGGTAAGCCCCTGCACAAGCTCCAGGGGGGAGTTGGGCTTTGTGGTACCTTTGCTGGGGGTGGTGGATGCCCTCCCTGCAGCCCCCACAAGCCGGGGGGGAACAGTGCCACAGGATGGCCTGGGCACCCTGTGTGGGTCTGGGTGCTGGGAGGTCTGCAGGTTAGGACTGTGCTGGAGAGGATGTGGCTCGTGGCTGAAGGGACCCCGAGGCAAGTGCTGGATCTGTGCTCCACGTTACTGTCCTTGTGGGCTGACCCTGCTAATCAGCTGTGAAAGAGGGAGAAAGCTGGAAAGAAATCTTTCTCTCTGCTAACCTCATCACAATAAAGATTCCTATAAAGAGCTCTTATCCTTGAAGAAAATGAGGCGCATAAGCAGGAATAGTAAACAAAAGGCTGTCATTTTGACCCAGGAGTGCTTCATGTTGTTGGCAACTGCCAAGAGGAAACATAAAGAGAGGCTGCATCCAAGTCCCAATTATGCAGAACTATGTGACTGATATGTCAATGAGTCCCCCCGGGAGGAGACCACCAGCGCTTCCCAGCGCTGCCTGCGCAGGATCTGCACCCTCCGCCATGTGCCAGGCCGCCCGCGCCCCGCGCAGGTGTGTGGCACCGCAGGAATGCGGGGGACAAGGTAATGTCACCGCCGACGGCCTCGCCGCGCGCGCATTATCGGCACGGGCCCCGGAGTCAGGGACTGCGGGCAGGCAGCGGGGTTTGGCAAACGGTAGTGCCGGCCACACCTGCTGCAGGCACGCTCCGGGAACGTGGCGCAGGCAGGAGGGCTGCCCCGCGCCGATAAGCTGAGTGGATGGAGATAAAATCCGAGCAGGAGATATGCTTTGCTGAGCATCAAGGCTACGCACCAGCAAGGAGCCAAAGCACGCTGTGGCCCGCAGCGGGTGGTGTGGATCCACGGGCTCCAGCTGTGCTGTGGCCGTGCTGGGAGGACATGGAGCAGGGAAGTCACCAAACCAACAGCCAGGGCTTTGGTGCCAGATGTGCCAGTGTGCGGGCCTGTCGGCGGCACAAGACAGAGGCTGTGCTGCTCCCTTGGCTGTGACAACACCGTGACAGGGCAGCAACTTTGGGGCCTATCCCCAGCCCTGAATGTCTCCTCCCCAGCACATTCTGTGTGGCTGGAAGCCACAAACCACCTCATCCGTCCCTCCTGAGTGCTACGGTCCCCAAAATGTCACCTGTCTGCTCCTCCTCCCTGACCCCCGAGACCCCTGAGGCTGCCAGGAGCCGGCTCTACCCAGTGCCCGTGTGGCTGCTGCAGCACAGCCTTCCCAAATCCACCCTCGCGCCACCAGCCGGGTCCTGCCAGGCTGCACCGTGGCCCATGTGCTGGCCCTGACCGTGGCCACGCGCCCGCTGCAGGAGCTGGGCCACAGCCTTGGCCAGGGCCAGCGCAGAGGAAAGTGCCCAAGGCCGGCAGGGACGTATTTACCCCCGAAAGCACCTTGCTGCAAAAATAGCAAGTGGCCGGTGTGAGGCCGGGGCTTCCCGGGGGAACAATGCCTGGCAGGAGGAAGCGGCTGCGGCCGCCCCGCAGCCCCGTCCCGCCTCGCACGGCGCTGAGCCGCGAGCTGCTGCGTGCCGGCCCGGCAGGGACCTTGAACCTGCCACAGATTTATTTTCTCTGACATTGGCATCGCGTCGGAACATCTGGCATGTGGCTGATAATTGCTGGGGATCAGGGCGGAAGCCGCTCCGGGCCTGGCGCTTCTTCCAGAGCTCTGTTTTCATTAGTTTTTCTCCTCTCTTCAGCTGCAAAGCAAGGAAAAAACAAGCAGGGCTGTGCAGTCCATTCTCCTGCTCCTCTCCCTGCAGCACCGGGGGCTCTCTGCTCCCCCCACTCGTGGTGGGTACACTGCAGGGCATGTCACTGCCACACCACGTCAGGGCTGCGCTGATCGAGGGAGGGGACGAGCCTTTCGCTGACCCCTGAGCCCAGGGCTGTGGGCCCTGCCGTGCCGCCCAGATTGCCAGCGGCCACCTGGTCAGAGCTGAGCTGTGGCACAGCCCTCGCTGTGCTGGTGTGGGGCTCGAGGCCAGGGCAGCCACTCCTTCTTGGGACTGTCGTCACTGGGACGAAGCAGAGAGTGGACACTGCGCAAACGTGGGAAGACGCTGTGGTGATGGATGGCTGGAATGCAGGGCCGGCAGTGGGGGCAGATCCCTGCTCTGGTGGGATGGGGGGAGTCTCTTATGCAGCCTCCCATCCCAGCATTGCCATTCCCATGTTTCATGGGGTGGTTGGGACCCAAACCCTGGCACAGTGCCCATGGGTAGGACCATGCCCAGTGAAGGAACTTGGGGAATCGGATGTGGCAAACACAGCCGGAGCTTGGCTGCCTAGGCCCAGGTGCACTGCCTTTCTGCCAGTGCTGTTCTGGCACGAGCAGAGCTGCTGACCACAGGCACAAGTGAGCCCCGGGGACCCAGGAGTGGGGCCCTAAGTGAGGAGGAGCCTCTTCCCACCCTCCCTTGCAGAGGAGACCTCCCCTGGCCAAGGAGGCTGGGCTGTGTCCCAGTCCTGGGTGGGTGAAGTGGGCTCACGTTCCTCCCAGAAGTGTCCTGCCCCATGCCCTCGGCGCCCTCCCTCCCGCTCTGGACCGTAAATCAGGGTGGCCGTGGGTGCTGGTGAACTCCCTGCCGCCCGCCAGTGCCCCCCGCTCCCCGCAGGGTCTCCCTCCCGGGGCGTGTTATCTACTGCGGGGGTCCCACTTATCTCCACTGTCACTTTCTAATGCTAGTTTATGGGCAGTGTTCTGTAGCTTAATTATGATGTTTTTCAGCGCGGTCACGTGGCCACAGAAGCCAATAAGGCACCAAAGTGGGTCCATCCCGTCTGAGCCTGGCCCCCATGGGGAGGAGATTGGCTGGTGTCCTGCTCGGGGCGGCGTGTGCACAGCCAGAGCCCCGACACCTTCCCAGCGGACACAGGTCCCATAAATCCCCCAGCCTGCCGTGGACAGGGCAGCGGTGCCCACACCCCGTGGAGGCTCCTCGGGTCACAGCTCCTGGCCAGTGGCCGAGCGAGGCTCTCCCGCCCGCCGGCCCCACACGCAGCAGCCGTGCAGCCGCCTCGCGGTGAGTACGACCCCGTGGGGGGAACCAGTCACCCATCCCACCCTTCTCCCAGGCACTGCCGCCATTCCCCGGCATGGTGGCGGCCAAGGCCAGGGCTGGGGACATGGTGGGGCTTGGCGCGGAAGCCAGAGCTGAGTCTGGGCCTCTGCTTCCCTCCCCTTCCCTGCCAGCGGGCGTGGGGATGGCGGCTCTGCAGCCCGTGGGCAGCAGGGCGAGGCCTCACCGTCGCCTTGGCCCCTCGGCCACGCTGCTGCCCAGAAATGACTGAGGGGAGGACAGCCAGCGGTGCTGGGGGTCTCTGGTCACTCAAGGATTGGGTGTTGCCCATGGGAGCGCAGGCAGCCCCCACACCCTGGAGCAGGCGTGGGAGGCGTCCAGGACCCCTCAACCCTTGATGCTGGCTGAGCCCACGTCCCTCCCCAACCCACCCTGGCAGGGATCAGAGCCTTTGCCTCTGAGTTGCTTTTGTTCCTCGCAGTGTTTGCTCGGTTCTTCTCCCAGCCCACAGCCCCTCCTGGCTTTCTCTTCCCAGATGGCAGGCCCTGCTCCATGGCTGCCCAGCAGCTTCTCTGGGAGCTCGTGGCAAGCGAGGGGGCCATGGCCGAGGGGCTCTGCTGGTGGTGGGAGTGCTCCTTCCCGGCCGTATGGCGGCCGACCCGAACCGTGGGCTGCTCTGCTCCTATTCTTAGCCCAGGCTCCATTCCTGAGGGCTCTGGAGCGATGCTGCACCGAGCCCGTTTCCTGTTTGCCGCTCTCCCTGCCAGTGCTGCTTCCTACTCGCCGCACCCGCGGGCGGCAGCTGATGTGTGGGGCAAGCGGGTGGGGTGAGCCAGGCAGGATGAGAGGAGTGGGATGAGTCCTGCAGGACAAGCTGTGCGAGATCAGCTGTGTGGGGCCATCAGCCATGGCTCCCCTTCGCAGGGCACTGCCGGTGGCACAGCCCTCGGTCGTCCAGAGCTCCAGACACCCACAGCCCCGCGCCCTCCTGTGCTACTGCCCTAGAGCTGTGCCAGCAGCAGCCTCCTGTGGGACGGGCTCAGCTCCAGTGCCTCGGGCTCCCCATGGCCAAGTGCCTGGGTCGTGGCATGTGGCCTGGGAGCATCCTGATAAACAGGACGTGCCCATAGCCGGGTGCTGTGCTGGTCTGCAGCCATCATGGAACATTTTGTTACAAATCCCTAAGCATTGAATTGATCCCTGGTGTCTGACTGGCAGACCAGGACACTGTTAGCAGTGGGTGCTCCGGGTGGGGTGGTTGGTGCTTGGTCTGAACTGTCACCTCCTTAGTGGTGGCCCCAGAGGAGGTGTCAGGAGCTGCTGCACATCCTGGTCCTCCCCACACAGCCCTCCCTGGGCTGGCAGGGCCAGCTGGTGTGGGGTAATGGGGAGTTCTGACAAAGCCAGGGGTCCAGGGACGTGCACCGAGCAGAGCAGGCTCATGCTCAGACACAGTTAATTGTGCTCCAGTCCCGGGACTCCTGGTTCCCAGTGGATCGTGCCACTTTCAGGCCAGATACCCAGGGAGGTTGGGGGGCTCGTTGTTCCCCACAGATGATGCAGGGGAGCAAGAAGGGTCTCTCGTCTCTTCCTGCAGAGCGGTGCCCCCTGCCCGTCCCCGAGGAAGTCCCTGGGGGGATCCCCGGTGCTGCCGAGGCCTGGCCGAGCTGCTCCCCAGCCCAGCCGCCGAGTCCCCGGTCCCCGGGCCGGCGGGTCCCTCCGCCCCCGCCCCGTCCCCGCCGCCGCGAGCCTCCCGCTCTCCCAGAGGAGGTTCCCCAGCCCCGGGGGGCTGGCCGTGAGCCCGCACCAACATGGAGATGCTCTTCCAGGCGCTATAAAGAGCTCCGGCTCCCGCACCTGCCGCTCGGTCTCTGCCGCGCCCGCTCCTGCTCCGCACCCAGCGCCGGGGCTGGGGCCGCCGCCCGTCCCCTTCCCCGTCCCGTGCCGTCCCGCTGACCGCGGCTCGTCCCGCAGCAGGGCCGCTGGAGGGGATGGACTATTCCTATGATGAGGACCTGGACGAGCTCTGTCCGGTCTGCGGGGACAAGGTCTCCGGGTACCACTACGGGCTGCTCACCTGCGAGAGCTGCAAGGTAGGATCGGCTGGGGCGTGAGGGGTCGGGGCTGCGGGGCCGGGGCTGTGCGGGGCCGGGGAAACGTGGCTGGGGCTGTGCGGAGCTGGAGCTGTGCGGGACCGAGAATGCGGGACCGGGGAAGCGGGGCCGGGGCTGTGCGGGACCGGCGCCATGCGGGGCCGGGGCTGTGCGGGAAGAGCTGCACGGAGGAAAGGGGGCCGGGGCTCTGTAGGGAGCGGGGAGGGGGCTCTGCAGGGGCCGGGGCAGCGGGACCGGCCGCGGGGCTGCTCTCGCCCGTTTTCGTTAGCGGCGGATTCGCTCCCGGCGGTGGGACGGGAGCGCGGCCGCGACGGGAGCCCCGACAGCGGCGGGGGCGGCGGGACCCTCCGTCGGAGGCGGGTGAAGGGGACAGGGCGCTGATGCCAGGATGCCCGTGGCGGTGCCCCCCGCAACGCCGCCGTCCGCCGCCGCAGGGCTTCTTCAAGCGCACGGTGCAGAACAACAAGCACTACACCTGCACCGAGAGCCAGAGCTGCAAGATCGACAAGACCCAGCGCAAGCGCTGCCCCTACTGCCGCTTCCAGAAGTGCCTCACCGTGGGGATGCGCCTGGAAGGTAGGGACGGGCGGGCACGGCGGGGCCGGGGGCGGCGGCGGGGCCGGGAGCTGTGCGGGGACTGTGCGGGGACTGTGAGGGGCTGTGAGGGGCTGTGCGGTTCCCGGGACTGATCGCGCTGGTCCCACTGCCGCCGCCTCCCCGGACTGGTCATTCCCGTGGCCGCTTCGATTCCGTTTTTCCTTCCGAAGTTAAGAAAATATTCGTTTTTTCGCGTAGCCTCCTGTTTTTCCCTTGTTTCGTTTTGTTTTGTTTTTTTTTCCCCGGGGTTTTGTCTGCCACGGCTTCAACTTTCCAGGATTTTTTTTTTTGCTGGCAGGAAGGTTGGGAAATAGCAAATAAATTATTTTTTTCCTTAAGCACATAATTCCAGAAGCCGAGTCTTAAGGAAAACGTTAAAAATTATGGGGCTAGCAATAAAACTGCCGTAGACCCACCACGAATTGTATTTTTCCTCTCGGTGACATTTAATATAACGGATTTCTGACCCTCGAGGGGGCAATTCCAGCCCCATAGCCGCCTCCTCTCTCGTGTCGGCGCAGTCGATCCCGGCATCAGAGTCGGGCCCCGACAGCCACGAGTCGCGTGTTGTGGTTTCTGCAACATTCAGCAAGCGACAACGAAATATATTTGGGGGGCAGGTCGTTCGCACGGGGTGGTAGAGCAAAAGCAGAGGCAGAAGGGGCCACCCCACCCCAGAGTCAGCCGCCCCCCCCTCTCTTCTCCCCTGAAATCGTTTGTGTTTTGCAGCGGGGGGAACTGGACTGAGTCCCTCTCCGGCCGGGCTCAGTCCCTCTCCGGCCGGGCTCAGTCCCTCTCCGGCCGGGCTCAGTCCCTCTCCGGCCGGGCTCAGTCCCTCTCCGGCCGGGCTCAGTTCCTGGCTGGCCGGGCTCGCTGCGCGGGGCACAGCGCGGTTTATCGAAAGTCCTCCGTGTTCTCTCTCCGGGAGCAGGATGGGAGCCTGCGAGCAGCGGCGCAGGAGTAAGACACAACATCGAGCTGCAAAATCAGCCCCTGCAAACTCCCGGCGTGGGCTGGCTTCAAAAACAGATCCCAGTTTCACTCTCCTCTCTGGGCTGGAGTTACTGGTGACCTAAATCATTCCGTGCATGCTCTGGCAGCTTTGATCGAGGGGGATTTGAGCGTTGAGCAGGGGCTGGAGGCCCCTGGGAGAGTGGGCAGGGGCAACTCTTGGGGTGCCCGAAGGAGACAGGCATGGCTTTTTATCCCTTTCCAGTACCTTTTGTCTTGCTCACTGTGGAGGTCCTTTGGTCCCGGGGCTGTCCCAAACAGCCTTTTCTTGTTTATTTTCTTGCTGTTGGCCCCTTAGCTGAGCCGGGCTGTCAAGGGGATCACCCAGTGGAGGGTGATATTCCTATGGAGCCATCTCTTTTTTGGTAAAAAACAAAGATCACTTCTCCTCAGCTCCTAGTATTTTTGGGCAAGGCATCTGAGGTGATGCTTTGGAGGTGAGTCTCCAGCTCCACAGGACAAGAGCAAGCCCAAGATGCTCGATTTTGGGGGCAGCGTTGACACAGGTACCCCTCAAAGTGCCTGAAGGGAGGCTGGAGGGAAGCCCAGCACAGGAGCAGCACAGCCCTGGCCCAAGTCTGCCACAGCCCTTGGTCAGCCCCTGGGCACTACCCTGGGCACACCCATGCCTCTGCCTGGGCAAGGGGAGGCAGAGCCTGGCCAGCAGCCTGTCCCAGCCCAGGTCTGCGTGGGGGCGAGGGCAGGAGAGGCAGTGGGAGCGGAAAGCGGGGGCTGCAGGGTGCTGAAGACCCCTCCTGCTGCCATGTGGGTGTGTGACTTGGGGGTCACCTGGAGAGGGTTTTTGGAGGGGGTTGCTGTGGGTGAAGACTCTTCCTGGGTTGGCTCCACTCAGGCCCCCTTGCTCTGGAGGTCAGGGCACATCGTTTCCTTCATAGCTGCCAAGTGGGACGCAGCAAATGGCAAGTTGTTCCTGATCCCAAGTGTGGCACAAATGGCAGGAAAAGCAGAGCAGGAGGGAATTAAAAGGCCCCTTCTCCCTTTGTGTTCTTGCTGTGAGCGGGGAGGAGATGTATGTGGTTGCCTGCAGAGGGTTTGTGAGACTGGACTGACAAACTTGCTGTTTGGGGGGCTTGGGCAGCACCAGGGGGGTCTCTGCCTGTGCACCCTTGCCCAGGGTCATGGGAGTCCCTGTGGGATGCAAACCCTGGGCATTGCTGGCCTGACCTCAAGCAGTGGTGGGTATACATCACTTCGAGTGGGGGTGAGATTTGGGCTTTAGGTGTGCTCTGGCTCTGGGATGTGTGGCTGGGGCTGCCAGGCCTGCCCGTGCCAGCTCGGGCTGCCAGCTGTGCTTGCCCACAGGAGACCCTAGCTTGGATATGCACAGTGCTGATTGTGGCACCTCCCTGGTACCCCTAAGTCCAGCACTGTCTCGGGGCAGCTCTCTGCTGCCCAGAGGGGTGTGGGGAGGCTCTCAGGGGCGGGGGCCACGGCACCCCTCGCTTCAGAGGCTGCTGCTGGCTGCCCACTCCCAGCGAGATGCTGTTTTCATGAATAAAGAATGAGGGAGGAAGCCAGGGCGGCTCTCCTGGGAGCACATTCCTGCTCATCCTGGAAATGCTGCTGCTCCCGACCACACTCCCGCCTTTCCAGCCTGCCTGGGGAGCACTGGGGAGGTGCTCTGGCTCTCCGGGGGGGCTGGCTGCGCGCCCCAGGATAAGTAGGCGAAAGAGAGGCAGAGGTAACAGATGACACACAAAGCAAGACCCGCTGGCTGTCAGCAGGAACATGAACTAGCAGAGGGTTTTTTGCCTTTGATGCTCAGCCTGCGAGCTGCTCTCGCTGGCTCACTCCTCCGTCCCTCTGCGCTGCCGTCCAGCTCCCAGCTCCTGGCTCCCAGCTCCCAGCTCCCGGCTTCCAGTGATCTGAGGCTCTTCCAAGGGGTAAATCAGGGCAGCAGCCCCTGGGAGCACAGCAAGGCAGTGCAGAGGGACGGGCTCCTGCTGCAGAGAAGCACCTGCTCCCTTGCTTATTGACATATTCTTGGGTTTCTTTTGGTGCTAAATGGGAATGTCTGCTTTGCTGCAGCCGGGACATTGTGATGGGCTGTTGGAGTGACTGTGCCAGCAGGATGCTCCAGCAGAGCCCCTTGGCGAGGCTGTACCTGCAGGGCTGGCAGCCTCCTGTCCAGAGGCCAGGGTGAAGTGCACCCACTGGGACCTGCTGTCCGTGCTGCTCGAGAAAGAGGGAGATTTGCAGAAAAGCAGCACGTGCAGCTGGGATGCAGGGAACCAGGGTCCTGAGGGGGCTGCGGGGTCCCAGGCTCTGCCGAAACAAGGAAATCCTGGGGCTGGTCCAGTGTCAGGGTTGTTAAAATGAAAGTGGATGTCAAGCCCCCTCATCTGCTCAGGCTTCAAGGGCTGTCCTCTCAATCCATGGGGGATGGAAACCACTTTATCCCCCAGCTTGTTTTATAGTTAGAGCCAAATGCCTCTTCCTTTCCTGCAATTTCTAGAGGCTCTGAGAGTGACATTGGCTGGGCTGAGTGGCACAACCTGCTGTCCACTTTATGGGAAGGTCTTCGTGGTGCCCCAAAAACCCTTTTCACCATCAAGTCGTGTGTCTCCCCACCCCCCCTTTTTCTCTGTGCCGTGTGGAAGCCCTGATCTTCCTCTGTGAGGGTTCTCTGCAGCCTCTGCCCTCTCTCTGTCCCCAGCTGTCCGTGCAGACCGGATGCGGGGAGGGAGGAACAAGTTTGGCCCCATGTACAAGCGGGACCGTGCCTTAAAGCAGCAGAAGAAAGCTCTGATCCGTGCCAACGGCTTCAAGCTGGAGACGGTGCCTCAGATCATGTCCCCGGTGCAGAGCGACTACAGCCTGTCCTCCACCATCCACAGCATCCACGCCATGTCCAAGACCCTGCCGCCCAACCCCGCTGCCCTGACGCCCGTCGACTACGAGCGCAGCCCCTACGGGACGCCCTCCCTGGGAATGACTGTGCCCGGCCACGCGCCGCTCCCCGGATACCACTACCCCTCCTTCCCCAACCGCACCATCAAGTCGGAGTACCCCGACCACTACACAAACGTGCACGAGTCTGTGCCTGCCTACGTGTACCCAGAGACCTACCCCAGCAGCTCTCCCCCCGACATCCCCGAGGTCATCCTGAAGCTGCTGCAGCTGGAGCCCGACGAGGCCCAGGTGAAGGCACGGATACTGGCCTGCCTGCAGCAAGAGCAGGGCAAGGGCCGGCACGAGAAGCTCAGCACCTTTGGCCTCATGTGCAAGATGGCTGACCAGACCCTCTTCTCCATCGTGGAGTGGGCACGGAGCTGCATCTTCTTCAAGGAGCTGGAGGTAGGAGCCCGGCAGCGGGGAGGGACGCTGCTCTGGGCGGGCGATGGGAGGCTGCCATGCCATGAGGATGGGGTGCTGCTGTGGGCAGGACTGAGGTGGAGGAGCTGTGAGGGCAGGGCAGCACTCGTGGACACAAGCCTGGTGCTGTCACAGCAGATCTGCTGGCACATCCCTGTCCCTCTCCCAGCTCCCTGCACGGCGGGGCTGGAGGCACGGTGGCCCAGCTGCGGTGCCAGAGCGATTCCCACTGCCGTGTGGGGCTGATGATTTCAGATTCATCAAGGCAGGGGCAGGTGTGGAGGCAATCGCCGGCAGAGTGACTGCGGTGTCAAGCTCAAGATATAATTGAAAAATGTAACATTGAGGAATTATAGTTGAGACAATTCTCTCCTCCGCCTTTAGGAGGAAAATCGATGTGGTCAGGTGAGTTCTATTAGCGCCAGGCAGCCAGGGCAGGGCTGGCTGGGGTGGGGGACAGCACCAGGCCCACTCCAGAACTGTGCCTGCTGCCAGCAGCCCACGAGTGTGGCCGGCTGGGGGACATGCAGCTGAGCCCCATCCCACCAGGACATCCCCTTAGCAAATGCCCCTGAACATTTACTGGACCCAGTTTAGCAGGGCTGGGGCAGCCTCTGCCATCCTGCACACATTGCCAGGCTTTCAGACATTTTCCATTCATGCTCTGCACTGACCTAAGTTCCCAAACCGGTGCAAAAATGGGAAAGAAAATTTGTGCCATGGTCAAAATCCAGAGAGCCCCATCCCGAGGCATCTGAGAGACATGGGTGCCTTCTAGTGCTTTCAGCGTGAGGCTGTGCCACCTGGCTGGCCAAAATCACCTTCTTCCCGTGGGGCTGTGGGGATGGTACTGTGGGACAGGACCAGGCTCTTCCCTGTGCCATGGTGCCATGGGCACCATGGGGCTGAGCGTGGCCAAGCCTCACAGCTCAAAATAGCCCCCAGCTGCCAGAACAGTGTCAGGAAACGGCATTGTGGGGGTGGGTCAGGCTTGTTTCAATCATATCAGTGTCCAGCCTGGATTTTGGGAACAGGGTGGTTGTTGTTTTCCAGGAGATATTGTAAACAGTGTAAATTCAGTTCCTGGCGGTATTGCTGTGTAGCCTTGTAAATCCATTGTTAGCCTGACTGTGCCACCAAAATAGGCTGTTTCTGTGTGAATCCTTGGTGGTGGGTGCTCCTCCTGCTGTGGGGCTCTGGGGAGGATGACAGGCCTCACGTGGGCAGGGGCAGCTGTGTCCTGCAGGGAGCAGGTCATGTCCCCTGCCATGCCCAGGACATGGGGTTCAGTGCTCAGGGATAGGAGCTCAGCTGGGATCCACATCCACCTCTGCCATCTCAGGGGCTCGTGCCTTTGACCTTCATCCACATGGTGACTGTAGAGTGCATTCCCAGCATTTTGCAGGGCCAGGGACTTCAGGACACCTCATTCCCCTCTGGCTCCGGCAGGGGAACGCAGTGTCGCCGTCCTTGGCTCCCTCCCCTGCGCTGACTCTGCGGCACAACGGGGCAGGTCCAAGCCCCAGCACAGAGTGGAGGTGCCCAGGTGCCCCAGGATGGTGCTGGGGCTGCCCCCTGCCCCCCCAGCATGGTGCAAACTCCCCAGTGCAGGGCAGTGGCTTCTCCCTGGCCATGGTGAGAGCAGCTGGTGGGAAGGAGTAGGTTTGAGATCTTGAATCCCCATTGCTGCTCCCGCCCAGCACACAAGCAGATGGCTGCTGGGGCGGTAAATGGACTCCTGCTAGCACAGGGTGTATGGCTGTCCCTAAAGCCCGCACCGGGGGACACGGCAACCTCTGAGACCGATGGCCACTGGTGCAGGCAGTCCCTGCTGGGTGCTCGGGGCTCCTCGGAGCAGGGATGCCAGCAGCCCTCTCCATCCCATGGGAAGGTCTGTGTGAAAGTGAGGGTGCCCGGTCCCATCGGGGATGGGCTGTTGGCCCAGGCCAGGGTGGGGATTGAGGCTGGAAGGGCACTGTGCTGGGATATTGCTCCAGGGCACCGTGCAGGGCTCACATCACACATGGAGGGGTTGCAGACAGGTGAGAAGGGGCATGCAGGCAGATGACCCCATCATGCCAAGCCCTGCCTGAACCCTCCTAGCTGTCTGCAGAGAGCTGGCTTCTCCCCAGAGCCTCAGAGGGGGCCTGGAGAGGAAGAAGAAAATCTTCAGGGACATGGGGACCTGCTGGCTCACGCCTGGCCAGGATGAGCCTTTGGTCCCTGCCCAGGGAGAAGGAGACCAGGTTTCTCTGGAGCTGGCCAGTCTTGTTCCCGTTCTCATTCCTGGCCCAGCAGTCTGGTGGGGGGCAGACTGGGTGCTTTTCCCTCTCCTCCTGAGGGGGTGGCTGGGCTGGGAGATGCTGGGGAGCAGCCCCCCGGCTCCGCTGCCGTGCCCGGGGGAGGAGGGGGGCGATGGGCTAATGGCCTCTTGACATCGGCTCACACGCCACGTCCGCCCGCAGGCGCGGGGCAGTCAGATTGAAAACAGATTTAACTTCCCAGATATATCGTTTCATTTAAGGGCCAGTAATTCTGTCAGTCTGCCACTGACAAACGAGGGTCCCCATGCCAATCCGCCGGGAGACTGATGTCGCGGCGCTCATCTCGTGTCACCAGGAGGAGAATTACGGACTGCGCTGGCCTTCGGAGGCAAGACTAATAACGCTGTGCGGCAGAGGGGGATTTGGGGGCCCGCTTGTTTATCGAGGGCCGGCCAGGCAGCCGCGGCGCGAGGCCGCGCGGGCGGAGGTGGAAGAGGTCAGCGCTGACGCCCATAAATACGAACTTTAACTGAGTCTAGATGAGATGTGTCAGGACTGAGGGAAGATTTGCAGCATCTCTTCAGGAAGAAAAATATGGGCCGGGGGTGAAATATATTTTGTTGGGTCGTGAGTCTCAGGCAACTTTGTCCTTTCAGATGTAATTTTTTTATATATATATGGAGAGAGGCAGACAGGGAGATGTGCATGCACACACATATGTGCTCTTGCACACTCACATTGTGTCTGGTTTTGGAGTGGTTTATAGGTTTATATAGGTGTCACTGCCGTACCTACATATCAATATTGTGCACACAGGGTTGCAGTGACCTTTAGATTGGGATGAGCAGCCAGGAATGTTAAACAAATTGCCACGGTTTCAACCCGAAGGCCAGGCTGGGCTGGGTGTGCAGAGGGTCCCTGTGCTGCAAGAGGGGCACGGCACAGCCACAGGGTGATGGGATGATGCTGACCCCTCCTCTGCCCCTTTGTGCCACGGGCAAGCACCAGTGATGGGGGATGCTGAGGGCAGCACCATTCCCATGGACCGAGGGCTCCCTGCGCTCGCTGGGTCTGTTGCTGGGCTGCTCTCCCTCGGTCCTCGTCAGAGATCTCAGAGCCACCACGAAGCCTGTTTGCAGTCAGTTGCTTCTCTGCCTTTCGCATCTGTGGGTCATCTTGACCCCATCTCCTGGCCAATGGCCAGAGCATTTTTGGCAGATTTAAAGTCTCCTTCTGGTCGTGGATGCTGCAGCAATGTTTAGCATCCCATGCACTGGGGGAAATGTGATGCTTCCCCTGCCTGTGTTGTCCTGACCAGCACAGCCCTGCCTGCAGAGCCCTGGTGCTCGTGCAGCCTGGGCCACAGCAGCATGGGAGCCAGCAGGGAGAGGAGATTCTGGTCTCGCTGCACTGCTTCTGCTGGTGTTTGCTTTAAGCTACCCATCCTGGTGGTATCTGGGCAGGGGGATGGGGACATGAATTCACCATTAACACCTTGGACTTGTGTGAGGTTTTGATTGCAGGTGGCTGGTGGACATAAATCCACTTTCGCACCTCTCGGTAGCTGAGGTGTTGGGTCCTGCTCACACCCAGTAATTGCTGGGGCTGTGGCTCGGGGCACTGACGTGTGTCCTCCACCTGTGTGAGGGTCATGAGACAAATCCTGCACCTGAGGTCTGGGTGGAGGCCTGGAGAGCATCTCTGGATAGGAGGCAGGTCAGGGACACTCCTTGTGCCCGTGCCTGGGGATTGATGTCCCGGGACCCACTCAGGGCTTCCTGTCAAAGCGGGACTGCTGATGGTCACTCTGCTTCCTAACAGAGATGCAGGAGGGCAGCAGTGGTACCCAAGGTGGGGGATGCCCTGAGCCAGCTGTGCAGGGAGCAGTGAGCACAGTGAGCACTGTCCCCAGGTGGCCTGGGAATGTTTTGGGAGCCCCAGCACTCCCAGGGGCTTTCTCCCTTCTTACCTACAATCCCACAGGGAGGCTTGTAGGAGTTTAAAACTACACCCACATGCAGGTCCTGAAGCCCTTGCCTGGGCAGCATCACCCCTGACTCTGCACTCTCTCCCTCCCCTCTGGTGCCATCCCAGACCCTTTGCCCACAGGGAACTGCATTTTCTGTAGGTCACAGGCCATCAGCAGCCCCAGTGACAGGGGATTGCTCTCCCAGCATGGCGGGAGGGATGGTGTTTGCAGCGTGTTTTGTGAATGGGTTAAATGTTTGCTTTAAAAAAAAGGTAAAAATTGCCTCTCAAAGGCAGCTTGCATTAGGCCCTTGATAAAGCACTCCGTGGAAAAGCCTTGACATCAGAAGAGGAAGATCCTTTGCTTAACTTTAACTTGGATTGTGTGTGCTGCCGCCTGGCTGGGAGGATTGATTGCCTCACAGTGCCCCTCCATCAGCAGCCCTCTGCTCCTGGGAGGCCAGGCCAGTGTGGGGGGCAGCCAGGTGAGCCCAGCCAGAGCCCCCTGCAGCAGAGCCACAGTGCCAGAGCAGGGCTGTGGGGCCTGCCCACTGCCACCCAGCCCGGGGCATGGGGACACCCAGCTTGGTGCTGGGACCTCTCTATGGCCCCCAGCCCTGAGTAGCCCACTGAGCCCCCAGCCCACCCTGTCGTGTTCCCAGCCACATCACCCCCACGCCACGGCCATGTGGCTCTGGTGCACTGCGACGCTCCCAGGGAACACCGCGGCACACCGGAGTGTGCTGGCAAGGGAACAGCCATGCAGCAACCACACAGGGTGAAATGTGCTGCTGAGGGGCTGCAGGGAGGGAGCAGAAACCCCCCCAGAGTTTGGCAGGAGTTGATCAGCAATTCGTAAAGGAAGAAAAGATTTCAAAATTGTTGAAGTGTTTTCTTTTGGAAAAGCTAAATTTTTTTTAGAACTTTTTTCGAGGCAGAACCTTCTGTCTGTCCCTTCTGGAGCTCATCTCGCTCAGGAATGAGGCACAGGAAGGAGCTTCCAAAACAACGCCCCGGCTCAGCCGGAGCGGAGGCGCTCGGCACGGTCCGGGAGCGTGCAGCTGGGCTGGCAGAGAGCTGTGCACTGGGACCCCAGTGCCCTGCCAGGGCCATGAGCCTTGGGGCAGAGGTCACCATGGATGCAGAAAATCCCTGTTCTGTTTTGGTGCAGAATGAGCTTTTCCCCAGGTCTTTGTTCAGCAGCTGAACAGGAGCCTCACAGTCCACGCTGCTGGGCCAGGGAGCACGGCTCCTTCCCTGCCCTGGGCGATGGGGCAGGGGCAGCCCCACTGTGCCCCTGCCCTCCCTGCAGGTGGGTTCGTGCCTGGCAGGAGCTGGTGCTGCAGCCCCAGCCACCTCGCTGCCTTCCCTCCCCATCTCCCTCCCCATTTCCCTCCCCGCGCTGCTGCAGGACGGGCTCTGAGCACCCACTGCACTTGAGAAACAAATCCCGGGGAGCGCTGGCTCTGAGGCTCTGAGACCATAAAGCTCTTTCTCATCTGGCTTCTATTCCTTTTGCAATCTCCCAGCGCCGGTTTATTGCAGCCTCTTCAGCAAAACGAGGGCATTATCCAGCCCTGTGATGCTGCATCTGTCTTCCCTCTATTAAAGGGGGAGCACAATGGCCCTGCAGAGCTCAGCTGCTGGTACTGGATTTGCTCCGCAGGGAGACAGTACCATAATCCCAGCCCTTTCCCTACACCAGCCCTGTAGGAGTGGGGGGGTCCAGGCAGGACAGGAGTTCAGCTCTCTGTGGAAAGGATTTGGGGTGTGAAGAGCAGTGCCGAGGGGACGTAGCTGGCGACCCACGGTGGTTCTCAGTGGGGTGGTGGGAGGGCAGCTGAGCTCCCCGTGCCAGGACAGGAGAGTGCCCAGTGTTCTGACATGACTCTGGGTACGGGGGCCTGGCAGAGCTCTTGGTTCTGCCAAATGTAGCCTTTGGCTCTGGCTGCTCGTCCTGCCAGTCACTGGTGCTGCCTGCAGTCCCTGGCACCCTGCAGGACCTTTTGGGACCCTTCCAGCGTGGTCCTGGCTGGAGCTCTCACAGGGGCAGTCCCAGGTGTTCCTCTGGCCTGTGCCTGCACGTACACACAGCACCAGTGTGAGCGTGCACGTGACACGCGTGTTGGTGCGTGGGCAGGGCTGGGCTGGCAGCTGCAGGGCACAGCCATGCCCCGGCTCCCCCACGGCCCTGCTGCCCCCCCGGACCCGCCAGCCCCACTGGGGAGGAGAGGATGGTCTTCTTTCGTTTAAAAGTATCCAGAGGGACTGCCTGGACACACAGGCCCTTTGTGCAGCCACTGCACATCCCTCCTGCAGTCATTTTGTTAAAATTTTTGTGCAATTCGGGGAGGTTGTGCCTGGTGGGGGAAAACCAGTGCTGATAAGATCCAGCAAGTGCCACTGAAACACACTGAGCTGCTTTGAAGCCAGCTCTGCACAGCCATCTACCCCTCTCCTCTCCTCCAGTTCAGGGTCCCCCTTTCTGGGATGCAGCTCCAGCTCTCCCTGCTCATCCAAGGGCCCCCCTGCCATGGGATGTGTGCCAGGTGCAGGGTGGGTGCTGTGCAGTGCAGTGTGCTGGGTGTCAGCCGTGCTGCTCCTGCTCCCTTTCAGGTGGGTGACCAGATGAAGCTGCTGCAGAACTGCTGGAGTGAGCTGCTGGTGTTCGACCACGTCTACCGGCAGCTGCAGCACGGCAAGGAGCACAGCGTGCTGCTGGTCACCGGCCAGGAGGTGAGCAGTGGCCAGGGGACTGTGCTCCGGAGGGGTGGGGGCTGCCTGTGGGCGTGGGGTGAATTTTTGATTGCTTCTGGCCCAGTGTGGCCAACCAGGCATAGGGCAGATGGGTTTGTTTGCTGTACTATGGGTCTGCTTGTGCAGAAGGTCCCATCCCATCCCATCCCATCCCATCCCATCCCATCCCATCCCATCCCACCACACAGCTCCTGGTTCTGGAGAAAATTATTCTGTATGGAAAGATCAACAGCCCTACCTGTACTCTCAGTGGTGGGATGTGAAGAGGGGCCCCTTCCTTCCCTTAGGGGTGGCTTTTGGAGATGGGGTGCCTACAACATCAGCACTCTATGAAGGGCTCTCCTGTTTTAAATGAGGTTCCCGTTTCACCCACTGGCCTTTTCTTTGACACCCCTCATTCTCAGTGGGCACTCAGGGCTGGTTCCAAGCTGGTTCCCAGCTCTTGCCCTGTGTGGGGTTCCCTGCAGCAGGTTATGTGGGGCTGGGGCTGCCAAAGCTGATGCCATCCCGATCCTCGCAGGTGGACATGTCAACCATCGCAGCCCAGGCCGGCTCCATCCTGAACACGCTGGTGCTGCGGGCGCAGGAGCTCGTCCTGCACTTGCACTCGCTCCAGGTGGACCGGCACGAATTTGTCTGCCTCAAGTTCCTCATCCTCTTCAGCCTCGGTGAGCACTGCTTTGGGGGCTCTGGGACGAGGGGCTCACTCTGAGGAGTGATGGCCGTGCTGGGGTGCAGGGTCTGGGTGTGGGAGCACAGCTGAGGGAGCGTGCCCAGCCCGGGGTCCCGCTGTGTGATGAAGGGGCTCCCAATGAGGAGCCATGGCTGGGACCTGCCTTTCCCCCCACCAGGGCTCTGAGGGGTCTCCTGCCGCAGGCTGGGCTGTGCTCCAGCTGCAGGGGACACTGCCATCCCCTTGACCAAGTGGGGCCTGTTTTGGTCACTTGCCCATCAGGCTGGCAGGGAAACAAGCACTGATAGGGCTGTGGCAAAACAGGCGTGTTGACAGAGGCGCAGCGGGCCGGGCCGGCCGTATCTGCCGGCGTTTGCGTCACAGGGCCCGAGCGCCGCGCTGGACGGGGCTCTCTGCTCCTGATTAGGCTGAGCCCGCAGCCTGCGGCCCGGCCCAGGCGGTGGGTTCACACGCTCCCACCTCACCCAGACTAAACAACACCGAGCTGCAGGCACTGTTGTCAGAGCTGGAAACCTCCCTGGGGTGGCACAGCGGCTCAGCTCTGATCCTGCCCTGCTCCTGCCCCGCTCCGGCCCCACTCCCACCCTGGTCATGCTGCCCACACTGCAGGGAGCATCTCCACATGCACTGCGGCCAGGGATGTGTCTCCATTCCCTGCAGGCTTCCCCCAAGGCAGGGGTGCCCAGTGTAGTCCCAGGGATCTCAGCCCTGGGCAGGGCAGCGCAGCTGTGGGTGGTGCTGAGCCCCACAGGGACCCCAAGGGTGCCCAGCTGCCATCACCACAGGTACTGGCACCTTCCCCTTGGGGGCAGATCTCCCCTCCCGGTGTGAGGCCTGCAGGGGGTTCATATGGCTGCCACACTCACGCCTGTGCCTCTGCAGCTGCCTCCCTTCCCACACCTCCTCAGTGGCTGCTGATTGCACCCGCCCCACGGACAGGAACAGCCATTTCCCCAGGGAAGCTGGGCTCCCTGCAGCATCCAAGTGATGGTGCTGGGATGGTGAGCCCAGCTTGTGGCAGACCTGTTTCCATCTCCATCCTTGTCCCTATCCGAGCCCATCCCTGCCCCTGCCCCAGTGCCTTAGCCTGTGCTTGCCCTTCTCCATCCATGAGGTCCTATCTAGGGACCAGGGGTGGGAGCCACACTGCCATCCCGTTCTGCACCTGCAGCATCTCCTCCCTCAGCTTTCCTTTCCTCTGGAGCTGTTTTGAAATCCAGAGAATGGAGATGCGATAATTCCCCGCTGGAACAGTGATAAGGTGGGGCACAAACAGTGCCCGGGCTGGGAAATGAAGGAGCTGGGGGGGCTCGTACCCCGAGCCAGGACCTTCCTCGGCCACTGCCCGAAGGTTCAGACCAGCAGAGCTGGGTCCCCACCGTGCTGCCGTGTGTCCCCTCTGGCCCCCTTGGCACTGCACGGGGAGCAGGAACAGCACCCACCCCGATGGCTTCCCTGGAGCAGTGGCTTTCAGGGAGGGCGTGGAATCCAGTAGCTGGGTTTTCCCATACATCGTTTTGCCCCATATGCAACTTTTTCTCTCCATGTTGCAGAGCTCACTCAGAGTAATTTGCCCTTCGCAGGCTCAGCTGTAGAGGACGGGACTGTGTATTATGTGCAGGATGTAATTGCCTTTAACAAGAGAATTTCCACATTTACCACTCTGCCACAGCACAGTCAAAGCCAAGCCCTGCTCACAAGAGCTGCCATTTGAGTTCTAAATAGATTTCTCTCCTGAGCAGGTAAAGAGATTTAATTAAAATTAGGGCTTCTCAAAATAGCAATATTTATGAGGACGGCACAGGTTAGCTTTGTTCTACAGAAGGGCTTAATAGAGCCTTAATGGATTGACCTATCATTCGATTTCATGACTTACATTCATGAAGCAGCTACTCTTGGGGAGGGGAGGAAGAGAGGCTTTTATAGCCCACATTCCCTTAAGCGTTTGCAATTTATCAGCAGCTTCTCCCAAACAAAAGGAGCTGTGAATAGGAAGAACACTTGAGGGCATAGAAATAATCCCAGGCATATCTGTATGTGTGATGGGAGGCTTTGTCACAGGACAGTCTTTGCAACTGCTGCAGTGTCTCTAAATGAAGTGAGTCAATGTTATTTGGACAACATTCTTTATTCCTTGCAGGAATGAAAAGATTATTCAAATATTCAATTAAACAGTGAATAGGGTCTTTCAGAGAACCAGGTGAGTTCATCGAGTAGAACTAGCTATTGTTGAGCCAACTCAGGGGATAGATTTGACATTTATCAATATAACTTCTTTTTTTTTAATGACATGCACAATAACCTTATGCAGATAAAGAGATTTCGTAACAAGAACCCGGGTAGGAGGAGACAATAGGAGCAAATGTGCCGCCCAGTGAAAAGGGAAGGGTGATCTGATAAAGTACATCTTGGCACAACCTGTGCCCTTTGTGCCTGTAGCCACAGTGCCCATCCTGGCCAGAGGCTGGGGCTCCCTGGGGGCCCACAGCCCCCCAGCTCTGCCTCTGCTCCCTGGGGGCTCTGCAGGCCCCCCAGCTGCACCTCTGCTCCCCAGCCCCTGACCCTTGGGGGCTCCTGGCTTTGCTGGGCTGCAGCAGCCTCGGGTGCCATGGTCCCTCTGAGGGAGCCCTGTGGGGACAGGTGGTGGTGACAGGGCTACAGACACCCCCACCCAGTGGCACAGGGGTCCTGTCTGCTCCCTCCTGCTCAGGCACCTCCATCACCAGCACTGCATTTTGCCCTCCCAAATGTTGCTCAGCCCTCTGGGTACAGCCACATTCAGCTCCCCACCTTTTAGGGATGCAAGCCAGAAATAACCCCCAAACTCTCAGCTGTCTCGGCCAGAACCCATGCCCGTATTGCCCTGTTTCCCTGAATTTGGCTGTGCATCAGCAGCTGTGGGCCCTGGGCAGCAGACCTGGTGGGGCTGTGACCGAGGCAGGCCTGCTGGGCTCCTCGTGCTGCACAGTTAATCCATTAAATCTTCTTGCCCCAGCTGGGCTCGGGGCCAGGGCTGGCAGCAAGGTCACTGTTGGGTAGGTCTGGTACCGTTGCTGTGTGTGGCTGTAGGTGGTGATGGGGCAACACACGGCACTGGTTCCCTAAAGCCACCGAAATCCCTGTGCAGGGCCAGTTGAATGTGTTGCACTGATTGGAAGTCAACACCTCGCCACGGAGCACTCCTGGCAACCTGAGAGCTGAGGCAGCACCCTTGGAGAGCAAACCCCAGCTCAGGCCACCCCAAAAGCCTGGAGAACCCCCAGCCCATGAGCGTGGGTTGTCCCTGCAGTCAGAGGAGACCACCCCTGCCCTGGGGCTGTGCCTGCCCCAGCTCTTGCAGCTCTGCCTTCAGGACTGCAGCAGCCTCTTGCTGCCAGATCCTGCCTGCACCTTGGTGCCACTGCCTGCTGTGCTGCTTCCCACCCTGCTGGCAGCAGATCTGGCAGTGGGATTATGGGAAGCTCCTGCAGCCCTGGCGAGGCGTGGAGGATTAGGGTTTCTAGGCTGGTGAGCCTGGTTGCCACATTGGAAAGACCAGGTTTATCAGGGAATTAACTCAGCCGCTTCCTTGACCTTCGGGAATTAAAGGGGGTTGATGGCAGCGGCTCCTGCTGCGTGAACACAGCTGGCAGCACCTTCTGGCTTTGCCTCTTCCTGGGCAGAGAGGGCAGGGGGACACCAGTCCCGCAGCCAGGGGGTTTGGAATCTGTCTTCAGCATCAGGGGAGACTTGGGAGGCAGAGCAGGGACAGGGAGCCCACGGCTGGACAGGGATGGGGCATGACACTCCTCCTGCACTGTGTTTTCCTGCATGGGGAGCACCACCCCCACCCAGGAGCGTGGGTCTCTCCTGGCTCACCCAGCACGGCATGGCGTGGATGGGGCAGGCACATGAGTTTGGCAGCATTTCATCCTCCTCCTCCTCCTTGCAGACGTGAAGTACCTGGAGAACCACACGCTGGCTAAGGATGCCCAGGAGAAGGCCAACGCGGCGCTGCTGGAGTACACGGTGTGCCACTACCCCCACTCCACGGACAAGTTTCGCCAGCTGCTGCTGTGGCTGGCGGAGGTCCGGGCGCTGAGCATGCAGGCAGAGGAGTACCTGTACCACAAGCACCTGAGCGGGGAGGTGCCCTGCAATAACCTCCTCATCGAGATGCTGCACGCCAAGCGGACTTGAGCACGGCCGCCAGCACGACGCGGCGCAGCCCCAGTGCCACCAGCAGCGCGGCAGGGGCGGGACTGGTGCCCGGGGCTGGCTGCCTTCCACCCTGCCTTCCTCAGTGATGCTATTTAACCTCTGCTATTGGAAACGTCCCAGCTGGTTTCACACACAGCAAGGACGGTTGAGGCTGCAGGGCCGTGGGCTCGGCTGCTGACCTGCCCCGCTGAGGCGCTGCCCCAGCTCCACCGCACGCCTGGTGCCTGAGCCTGTCACCTGCAGACCCGGCTCAGCAGCACCGAGGAAGGGTAAAGCCTGTCCCAGCTTTTCTCCTATCTCTGCTCCTCTCCTGCTATCCCTACCAGCTGTTTCTTCACCTTCCCAACCCTGCCCCACGTCTCAGGGGCCCTCGTGCACAGGGCAGGGGAGAGGTGAGGTGAACCCCCTCCAGGCTGTGGTTTTGTGGTGGTTGGGGTGTCTCCAGGCACTGGGGGAGCACACAAAGGAGCCACGCAGAGCACTGGGGCTGGGCTGGAAGGGTTGGCCCTATGCAGTCTTATGACCCCAAGGTGCACATGCTGTGTCCCACCGGCAAAGCGAGGGTAGGCAGGGGTGGGCAGTGCTGAGTCCTCAGCTGAGGATCATTTTCCCAGTGCCTGCTGGTGCTGGGGGCAGCAGCTGTGGCTTTGCAGGCCGTGGCAGTCGCAGTGCCCAGAGCCCACAGCTGTCCGTGGGCAGCACAGCTCTGTCCTGCCCACAGGTGATGGCGGCAGGGCACCCAGGCAGGAGGGAGCTGCAGGCAGGTGCCCAGGAGCTTGGAGAATTCTGGGGAGCTCTGCAGCCCCCTTTCTGCATTTACCAGCCCACATGCATGGTTAGGGAGGAATAAAGATTTTCCTGCACTTTGTGTTGGGCCCCCACACCCCCTCTTGAGGTCTGCGGTGTCCCCAAGCCGAAGCCGCAGGCAAAGAGCTCTCTGTTCCTCTCCCATCATGGGACAGGGGCTCACAAACAGGACTGGGAGCACTGGGGACATGCCAGACTCTCACTGCTGCTTTCTCTCAATCTCAGCCATGCTCTCCTCTCCTCCTCTCCTCTCCTCTGCCCCAGCAGGCAGCCCCTGCCCCTGCCTGACCCTCAGCTCCGTGGGCTCCTCCACAGGGTTGGGTCGGCCGGGATTGCTCCCCAGGTCGGGGGGTCTCCCTGTCCCCAGGGGCCATCGCCCGCCGTGGCTCTGCAGAGCCGGTGCCTTGAGGAGCCACAGAGGCTGCGCCCGGAGCTGAGTGGTTTGTGAAGCTTGTTAGATGCAGAAGAGTATGTTTGTCTCTGCTTTAACACGTTTGTGCATTTTCCTCCTGAAGTCTGTGGTTTGGTTTCACCTTCTTCTTTTTGTGAACTTAAAGAACTGGAGAAAATGGTTTGGGAGGTTAAGATGTTTTATTTTCAGAAAATGAAAAGTGTCCTTAAGTGTCTTTCTCTCTGTCTCTCACATCCTTTTCTCCCTCTTATCCCTCCCCTTCCCCAATACTCCCCCTTCCTTCCCAGGCAGGAGGTTACCAACTTCCTTGTCAGGAGTAAACCACTGTAATAAATTTTGCAGTTCATTTAAAAAGGCAAACTTTGTCTTTTTTGACTGTCTTTCTTCCGCTCCTGGTTGGTGTTCCCCCAGCTCCCCATGGGCAGGGGAGCAGTGCTCAGCTCCCGGTGCCCACTCCTGGGGTGCTGCCTGCCTTTGTGGGACCGGGACACTGGCTGTGAGACAGGGCCACTGCTACTGTGGGATTCAAAGCATCAGTGCCTCGAGGTCTGGTAAAGAATGCTGCAGGGAACTGCCATAGTGACTCTGAGAGTGTTTTTTGGAGTGAGCTCAGTAATGGCAACATTTACGGGCTGTTAGAACGATTATCCTAGGCTTGGATTGCTCACATAGCTCCTGGTGGTTACCGTGGCCCCTGGCCTGGCACACACCATGGCAGGGAGCAAAGCCATGGCAAAGCACAGAGCTCTGCCACAGACTGACATAGATGTGGTGAGTGTAGGATTTCGGTGCTGGGGGTGCCCCAAGGCCCACCCCTCTCTGCCCCTGGAGGTGCTTGGCTGACTCCAGCCAAGTGACAGTCCCCACACCAACCCCACCCCCTGCCCAGCACAGGGTGGTTCTAGGGCTGCAGAGCCCAATGCGTAAATACAGACTGGGCAGCACGTGCTGTGCTGGGATTGGGGAACATGGAGAACACAAGAGAGGGCACGGGGGAGTGGGCAGTGCCCTGGTCCTTGTACTGTGGCCAAACCCCCTCTGCTGTGCTCAGCTACACAGAGACACTGCACGAGCCCCTTCCCTTGGACACAGTGCAACAAGGAGAGAAGGTTGTCTTTAAAATCAGCATTTACTGTTGTCATAATCAGTAAAACCTCACCACGCTGTCTGTACTCTAAACACTACAGAGGTAACAGAGGAACAGGGAGGGAAAACAGAATCCAGCTGGCGAGGGGCTACACCAGCCAGGCAGGAGCCCAGGCGGGAGCAGGGAGAGGATTTTTGTCATAAACAGCAGAAGATGCTGTTGATGTCAGCTGGTTTAGAAAAGGCTTGGAGCCAGCTGCTGGCTTCCCTAGTGCACGTGCTTCCTATGCAGCCTGTCCCCAGCCCTGCCCTGGCACAGTGGTGTGGGGCCAGCAGCGGGGCTGGGGAAGGAGCCATCCTCACTGGCACAGACCACGGGCATGTAGAGGCTGCACGAGCCACAGGGACCCCCAGCACAAGTACCTGCTGTTGGCTGCAAGCCCAGGAGAGGAGCAGGGCCAGCAGCAGCAGCAGATGAAAGCCCACGAGACCCCACAGTACCCCAGTCCTGACTTGGTTTCACCTGCACATGCTGCTGGGGAGAAGTGCAGGGTGACAGGGACAGCCCTCCAGGGGAAGCCAGCTCCTCCAACCCGCCGTCCTTCCCAACTGTTGGAAAACCCCTGGTGTTGTAGCCTCGTCACCCAGAAACTTCTCAGAAACCTAAAGCAAAAGAGAGACAGTCTCTGTAACACGGTCCTTTGGCAGGGAGCCAAAGCAGCAGCCATGCACGGGGCCAGGGCTGTAGGAGAAACCTCTTCTTCCCTGCTCAGTCACCTGCCTGAGCACAGCAGCCACTGCTGAAAGCACGGGAGAATGAGCTTTACATGGGATTCAGTGAAAATACCAGCACTGCCATGGCAGGAAACACCCATGGCCCATGGGCTGCACCTCCTCCACAAGGGACCCATCGGGAGGGACTGTGGCACCAGCAGTGATCCCCCCACAGGGCAGCCCAGCAGGGTCAGCACGGGGGGGCCCTGCATTTCTCCCCGTGACACTCAGGTGTTCGCCTGGCTTTGAATCCCAAAGACTCATAAATGCCTTGTATTCTCAAACCAATCTTGTTTAACGCAGTACAGTGAGAGTTGCAGAATTACTCAGTATCGATCAGAGGAAGGCTGGGCCGTGGAGACAAGATCCATGTTGCTATGTGTGGCTTAGCAACATATAAACGTATTCAAAGCGAATAATGAAATTATCGAGGGGAAACAAAGCAGCCATCACTTGAGGAGATGGAGGATGTGGAAGCCTCTTGGAGCCCTTGTTTGCCAAGACAAGGAAGATGGGACTTATTGTTTGTGCAAATATGTGAGCCCCCCCAGCCATCCCCTGCTCACAAAAAGGGTGCAATGAAGGCGGCAGCACTCTCTGCACAGGGCAGCTCTGTACAGCTGGGCTGGAGCTCATTACTGCACAATGCTGCCTGAGCTGAGCCCTGCTGGGGGGAGCCCAAATACCGGGAAGGGGAGAGCCAATGCCTGCCTCTGGCCACAACCATGCTGCAAAACTCCCCATTTCTATGGTTCTGAAACTAGCATGGGATTTACCTGGGTTTTATCCACCCTCTTCCTCACCCATCCCATCTCACACCTCCCCATGGACCCACTGGCCATCTCTTGAGCTGGGAGCCAGTGCCATGCCCACAGCTCTCAGAGGAGCATGGCTGAGGCCCTGGAGCACACAAGAGCTGGGAGATTGTGAGCACACCCACGAACTGTCCCCAACTCTCCCCACTGCCCTGAGGGGCATATGGGCTCTGCCAGAGCTCCTGTTGCTGGCAGCACCATTTTCATCCGAGCAGGATGGCAACTTTGAAATAAAGATACCCGAGGTAAATATGTCTCCTTTCATTCAGCTATTTGGGAGAAAACAACAACTAGAAGAGGGGATGGTGTCTGAGCTGAAATGATCTGTCCCTGCTCATCACCAAGGTTTTGGGTTTGCTGACCCTGGCATCTCTTACCCAAGATTTCCACAGTGCTTTGCTCTGTGAACAAGCTGTGAAGGCAGAGGTCTGTGTGAGGCTAAGTGGCCCTGGAGGCCCCCGGGCACCCCTGCAGCTGGGTGCTACAGCCTTTCATTATCTGCTGCAGTGGCTGGAAGCTCTTGTGGCTGAGCCCGGAGCAGCGCGGCGAGGCCGGCACCGGCACTGTGCCGCACGTGGCTCCACGTGCACAAGTGCACAGAGGAGAGCTCTTCTGCTTCAAGATCTTCTCCTTCACCCTGGGCTGAAGGACTGCCCAGCCACGGGCACCCTGGCCCCGGGGCCAGGCGGGAGCAGCGCTCAGGGCTGGGGGGTGGCCGAGCACAGCACCCCCCGCACACCCCGGCTGCTGCCACGGCCACGGCGACCGAGACCAGCCTGCCGTGTCCATCACCCAGCGGGCAGACACGGGCCTTTAGAAACACACTGAGGACCTACCTGAGAAAATAACGCCAAACTTAACAACCCTATTTGCATAGCTGGAGTTTAATAACACGTGGGTCATAAAATATCCAGGAGTGGCTGAGGGTGGGTCAGAGCACAAATGCATGTGCTGGATGCAGCCCTGACTGTCTCTGAGACCCTGCTCCTATGCCCGAAATGCTGCAGCACATCTGCTCCTGGATGCCACCATTTCTGCCTTTCTCATGTGCCCACTGGGAGGAGGAAAGCTGCACTGCTTCTGGG